CGAGTGCGGGGGCAGTGCAGGCCGGACCCGGCGGGGAGGCCGGTAGCGTCCTGGGTGTCCCCTAGCTGGGCCTGCAGCTCCGGTGGAGCCAGTTCCGCCGGCGCGGTCGCTGCCTTCGGGCCTCTCGGCTAATCAGCGCCCACGGTACTGCGTCTGTGTCCCGCCCTCTCGCGGCTCACTCGGGGCGCTAACTCGGGCTGACATCGACTGCACCGCGGCTCTGGGACGCCAGCGAGATGGTGCGCGGCCGGATCTGCCGGCTGTCCGTCCGCGACGTGCGCTTCCCCACGTCGCTCGGGGGTCACGGCTCGGATGCCATGGTAAGCGCTGACCGACGGCTCAGGTTCCCCACCACCACCCCACGAAGCCTAGGCCCGCTTATGTGTGCAGGGAGGCCCGGGAGACTCCGGACGGTTCCCAGTTTGGGAACCATTGGTTTTCTAAAGTGGAAAGTGGAGATGGGGAAAGATAGATACGTTCCTGCCTCTGAGGAATATGTTTCCAGACACCCACCCCTCCCGAGTTTTTTTTTTTTTTCTTTTTTCTTTTCTCGCTCTCACATTCCCTTTGCCAGCAAAGTTTAGAATGCCCTGGTTTTACATTTATGGTTCACATTTTTCTGAAAATGGTAGACGACACAACACTCAACAACAGTGACATGGTTTTGTTGGGTCCTCATAAGTGAAACTCTAGGTAGAATCCCAGTGCTGGCACCTGGGGTTTGCAGTGATGGACCCCAGGAATCCTGCAGCCAGGAATATGGGGGTGATGATTCTGCCCCTCCTCACAACTTCGCTGTGTGACTTAAAGAAGATCCATACCTCTCTGGGCTTCTTTGGTCCATTTATGAAAGTGTCACAACTGGCCTGAGAAATCAAGCCTGTAATTCTGGGTCACACAAGTGGCCTCATGAAATTACAATTGAACAATAGGAGTACAGACCTATGTGCAGCCGAAAGTCTTATATAACTTTTGACTGCCCATAAAACTGATAGCTTACTGTTAATTGGAATCTTTACATAAGCCATCAATTAACACAAACTGTGTATGTTATGTGTATTACATGCCTTATTCCTATAATAAAGTAACTTAGAGGAAAAAAAACTGTTAAAAATCATAAGAAAGACAAAATATATTTACAATACTTAAGGGGAAAAAAAAAATCTGTGTATAGATGTGGGCCATGCAGTTCAAACCCATGTTGTTCATGGTCAGCTGCACCTGCAAGATAGTTAGATTATCACCGTGAAGTCATGCAAATGTCTCTTAGTCTTAGGAGATGCTATAAAAGTGTGGACTTTGACTCCTGCCTAAATGGTGAAGGGCTTGTTTGCTTACTGAGAGTGACTGTCGCTCCCCCATGTCTAGTTCACCGGTTCCCAAATACATATGTGCTTCCTGTCTCGCTGGGTCCACCAACAAGATGGCCACACTAGAGTTTCATTGGTATGAAAATAGGAGGTCAGGGAGTCATGAGAAACATCAGTGTTAGAAAGACGGTTCCCTGTAGGGAGGAAAGGGAATGGGGCTAGGGAGGGTACCTGAGGGCACTAATTTATGCTATAATGCTTTACTTCCTAAGCTGGGTGGATGGCAAACTGTTGTTCATTGCACCATCTATGCTCGTTATATACCTGAAACGTTTTCTAAAAATACACCTCTCATTAAAGTGTGCTAAAATTATCAAATGCAAAAAAAGTCCTTTATTCTGAGATTAAGTCCTTCCTATTCCTTAAATGCTAGTGTATTCATTTTTTATATGATGAAATGGCAGGTGACTTAAAAAACACATAATTGGCAATCCTTTATGGATTTCTAAATAAATTTTTGAAATTGTACTGGCTTGTAAAATTCAAACACCAGGTCCTAGTACCTGCCTTTGCCTCTCTGAGGCATGGCAGCTGTGGGAAAACCACACAATCTCTCCAAGCCTAGGTTTTCTCATTTATAAAAAAGTATACTAATATCTGCTTTGTACATGTAAATGAGGTGCCTTTATAGAACCTGATAGCCAGAAAAACCCGTAGTAAGAGTTGGCTCTGGGACCAGCAAATGGTGTAATGGTTATAATGCTGGACTCTGATGTGGTTAACTATGGTTCAAATCTTGGGCCCAGGTGGCTTAAAACATGCCAGGCTCTTGTGCATGCATTCCCAAGATCCTGAGAGAAGAATGGAGAAGAAGGGATTGTAGTGTGACCATCCCCCTGGGGGTGATTTCTCATTTTCTATCTCTCTGTGTCTCTGGTGAGTGCATGCACCCTATAAGAAAAATCTGTAAGAAAAATCTCTAAATAAATAAATATAAATAAATAAATAATAAAAGAGTTGACTTTAAGTACTACTTACATAAGAAACTGAAGCAGAAGGAACTCTGACCTAGACTTGGTTTTGAATTTGCCAAGTGTTAAGATAGCCTGATCTATTGTAAAATAAGAAGTAATGAAGTTTGTCTCTGGGCCTGTGGGTGAGGAGAGATCACTTGACCTCTGTTAATTGCAAGCTCATAAAGACTTGGCACTTATCTTCAGGGGACAGAGTATGTGTTGTGTGCCGATTTTCAATTGCTTTCTTAATAGAATGTGCTGCTTTACAGTTTTCTTTGGTGATTTTGCTTCATGCACTCTTCCCAGCATTCTGGAGTCAGCAAGTTACATTTGGCACTTAGCAGCAGAGTGTGCCTCCCTGGTAAGAGGCGGCCTATTTTCATGGAAGAACCCTGAAACTGTCCTCCAGATCTGTTAAAGTAGAGGCGGTCCTGTAACTTAGTGATTAAGGGAGCCAAACTCCCGTGTAGCCAACATTGCCATTTGAATCCTTGTCCTGGTGGCTTGAAGAAAAACACCAGATGCATGTGTGTGCATGACCAAAATTCTGACAGAATGGAGAAATTATTGTGCTGTGACTATACCCTATTTGGGGTGCTTTCTCCCTCTCCCTATCACTCTTTGTTTCTCTGTCTCTGACTGATGCAAACACCCTCTGACTTACAAACAAATGAAAAAATAAATAAAGAGAAAAAAATAGAGAGATTTCTGCTATAGGGCACCTGTGCTCACTGGAGAGACAGAAAGCAGGAAATCACCTCCTGGCGGGGGTGGCCATGCCACAGTCCCTTCTCCATTCTGCTCTTGGGATCTTGGGCATGCATGCACACATGCCCGGTATGTTTCAAACCTCCAGGTCCAGGACTCAAACTGTAGTCAACCATGTGACAATCCAACACTTTAACTGCTATGCCACCTGCTGGCCCCAGAAAAAAAATTATTAAAGCAAATGTTCCCCTTAAGATTTTGCATTGGCCTATTAGAAGATGGAGCAGTCAGCCTGTGCGCATTTACTAGCTTGTCCTGGCACCACCAAGCTTCCGGAGAGCTCCAGCGCTGTGAGCTCACACCAGTGGCCATCTCCCAGCAGTCCTTTTCTTCTTTCCTCGCTGTCTCTGAACTTCCTGGAGTGGCTGCTCCAGACTCCTTTCCTCTCCACTGAGCCCCCAGCCTCTACCCTCGGGAGCATCACTGAGATTGAAGATGAACGGCCTCTTCTCCACACACCAGAGTCCATGCCATCCCTCTCATCCTTCCTTTTATTTTCAAATTGTCTTACTCCAAATCCATTCTTCTGCATCCTCATTCCTTTTCTTCACTGCTGCTAGGCTCCCCATCTTATCCCCTGCTTCTCCAGCATTTACCTCAGTTTCTTTTTTCAGTGGTTCCTTCTTGATCACACTTGGAAGACATTTCCATTTGGAATCGTCTTTCTTTGACCTTAACACCTCTGTAGCTCCCTTCAGTTTCTGCCCCTCCTCACCAAACTTGAGATTACTGGTCTGTGCCGGCTGCCACTGTCCTTCACATCTACGCCCTCCTTAATCTGAAGTCAGTTTAGTTTTCCTTTTGTCTCTTGGAATTGCCCTGGTTACTTCTGCGTCCAGTGTCTTTATCTCGGCTACATTCCACAATCTCTGCTGCCTGCTCTTTCTCTAAATCTCTCTCCTATTGCTTCTTCCTGCACCAACTCCCTTCTCCCCTGTCCAGGGCTCAGGCCTCTGTGTCTTCGCCACCTCTCCGCACACTCTCATGAGGACACCTCTCTATGTTCTCAGCCTCAGAGTCTCTTTATACCAAAGACTGCCAGAGCTTATTTCTGGATCTGCCTTCTCATCTCAGGTCTGCCGTCTGGATGCTTCTTGTTGGATTTTTCACCTTCATGCTAAACAGGCTAAATCAGACCTGTTCATCTTCCATGCCCTGCCCGCCTTCCCTCTTGATCCTTCTGGGGTCATTCCACTGTCACAAGGACTCAGAAGCTTCACGTTACTTTTGGTTCATCTTATCCTTTTTACTCTCAGAGAAAGCTTCAGGAAAGGCTTCCTTTTTCCATTGCTTCCTTTCCTTGTAACCCAGAAACTGTTGATGGGTATTTCATTCTTGGAGAGAGACTCCAAGACTCATCTCTCAACTACCCCCTCAGAAACCCAATTGCCAAACCAAACGAGGGTGGTCACCAACCTGTGATTACAGCCCAGACTTAACCTTTTCTGTCCCTTATATGGCCTTTACTGCCAATATGACCTAAGATATTCTTCCCTTCCTGATCCTTTATGCCTCTCCCCACTGCTGAAAAGCTCCCCTCCTCCACCAACCAGCTCAATTCTGTTAATCATCATCAAACCTTCTCCAGCCTCAGTACATTCAGCCAATAGTGCTCTCTGTCTGTCTTTCATAGATTGCATTTCTGAAAACTGCATGCGCTGTCCCATATTATTAGAGATTTTGTAACCATGTCTTCTCAACCATAACTTCCTCAAAGGTGGACGTATCAGTATCTCCGTCAGCAACCTGCACGGTCTCAGCTGGTGCTCCACAACACATCACGCCAAGTTTCCTCTGCTGGGCTTTGACACCAGGCCCAAGCTGCCCATCATCCTATACGCCTCCCACCCTCAGCCTTGAATACAGGGATCTAAATTCTGCTCCATAACTTAGTTGTGATGTGATCACGGACAAGTCACTAGACCTCTTTAAAACCGGTTTCTTCCAGGGATGATAGCACCTACTTTATAACATTGAAAGGATTAAATAATGTGAAGCTCTTAGGATAGTGTACCCAGAAAGTAAATATTATATAATTATAATAACAACAGTAATAAATTGTCATGGCCTTATGCAAAATTCTTCAGTAGTTGCAGCCTACATTCCTCATTTCTGTATTCAGATCTCCTTCCTGGTATTTTATGGCGTCCATTATCTGCCCCCATATCATCTGGCCATCCTTGTCTTCATTCACTTAATAAGCTAGTTCCCTCTTAGACCTTTTGCTTTCTGTCCCACAAAGGCCTCTGGGTTTCCTATTGTTCCTTGACCTGGAGGCTCTCATCTGCCCTTTTGCTCATCCAGATGGTCTTTGTTCTGCCAAGAATTCCCTTAAGTTCTCCCTCCTGTTTGCTCTTCCTTCTACAGTAATTCAGCCAATCACACTCCAGCACATCTATAGTACTTCAGCCAATCACACTCCAGCACACAGCCTTGTATTCTCTTAGCTTGTTCTCACCTGGTTCTGTGTTTTGGCTTTATCTGCCCTGTCTGATACATTTCTTTTTTTTCTTTCTTTCTTTCTTTTTTTTTTTTTTTTTTTGAGAAGTTTTTGCTATAGGGCATGTACACTTGCCAGAAAGACAGAGAGACAGAGAGACAAAGAGACAGAAAGCGAGAAATCATCCCCCAGGGGGGATGACCACACCACAATCCCTTCTCCTCCACTCTCCTCTCGGGATCTTGGGCATGCACGCATGAACAGGTGCCTGGCATGAGTTCAAGCCAGCGGGTCCGGGACATGAACCACAGTCGACTACATGGGAGTCCAACAACACAGCCATTATGCTAACTGCTGGTCCCTCTTTTTTTTTAAGAATTATTTTAGTGGGGCCTGCAGGTGGCATAGCAGTTAAAGATGCTGGACTCCCATGTGGCCAACCGTGGTTCAAGTCCTGAACCTGGCGGCTCACTTTCTCACTCTCTCTCTCTCTCGCTTGCTCTGTCCCTCTCTGGTCAAAATTTAACCAAAAGTTAATAAAGTTTAACGTCATTTATTTATTTACTTTTAAATTTTGACCAGAGAGGGACAAAGTAAGCAAGTGAGAGAGAGAGAAAGTGAAAAAGCAAGACACCAAGTCCAGGACTTGAACCACGGTCAACCATGTGGAAGTGCCCTTAACCACCATGCCCTTAACCACCATGCCACCTGCCGGCCCCTCCCATCTGATACATTTCTAGAGATAGACTTTGTTGTTGTTGTTGTTGTTCAATTTCTCACATTCCCCATATCAATAAATAAGTGTTGAGTTTCCTAATACTTGGTCAATAAATACTTGACATCAAAATACTGTTTGATAGGGCTAGCCCACAGCATGGTGTAAAGGGAACTGGATTCCACATGGCTGACTGCCACAGTTCAAGTCCCAGACCTGCTGGCTTGAGAAACACACCAGCTGTGTGTGCATGCTCGAAATCCTGAAAGGAAGGAGAAATGGAGGAGAAGGAATTGCAGCATGACCATTCACGATGGGGGCTTGCTTTCTCCCTGTCCCTGTCCCTGTCCCTGCCCCTCTCTCTGATGAGTGCATGTGCTCTCTGGCAAAAAAAAAAAATACCGTTTGATTGTACAAAGTAAAACAACATAAACAAACAAACAAAAATGGGTTAATTCGTCTTGAAGCTCTCCTTTCTTCCCCAGAAATCTCCTCTAAGTTCGCACCATTATATTTTCAGCTCTGCTGTAAACTACTGTGATGAAGATCACTCCAATTTTATACATGAGCTTTCCGAAACCTTGGTTCGTTCAAGTTAAAGCTGCTCTTGAACATTAACTCTATTTAAAGAGCTGACAGCGGTAGCTGTGAGTGAAACCTCCCTGGTTTAAAACTGAGTTGAGCACTAAAGGAGGCCTCCTTACAAACTGATGTTCAGAACATGTACATTGCACCTGTTGAAATATTTGGACTCCTTCAGGTTGTTAACTTTCACTCATTCAGGGTGCCTACATTTTCAACAGTTACCTCGGTGCTCTTCCTTCAGATCCCTGGTGGCATTTTCCCTTTTCCTATGTTGTCATTTTTGTGTTCATTGCCAAGTTTTCATGTTTGCATTGTTTGGGTGGGGGACATATTGCCTGCAGCACACAGACCCTGACTACTCAGCTGCCTATGTCGTCATAGAGACCGACGCCGAAGATGGGCTCAAGGGATACGGAATTACCTTCACTCTGGGAAAAGGCACTGAAGTTGGTGAGTCGAAGATTCTCTTGAGGTTCCAGAAGGCTTAATCCTCATGTAGTTTCCAGTTTTGACCTTCTTTTTCTCTGTGTTTACACTGCTTATACTGAGTAATTTATTACTGTTATTTATTTCACTGGGAGAACTTAAAACGTAGCAGAAGTTGGCCTCTCTCCTTGCAGTTAGCTATTGCCTGCTGGAAAGCCCTTGGATCGCATTCATTTCTCTGTTCAGTGATAACTCTAAGAACGTTATTTACCTGCTTTTGATTCTGACCACTTTGGAGCTGCGACAGCCTGAATAGACAAGAAACCAAGAATAGTGAGAGGTCATAAAGGAGAGCCCCCTAACACGCCTTACTATGATAGCACAGTCTACTTGCTTTTCTAAATAGTGTACACCAAACTGGTTTCACGTTTACTTGTTTTCAAGTAAAGACTCCAAACATAATGTAGCCTTTCTCGGAGCTGCACCAGATCTCAGCGGTGATGTTGAGCCCATTCATGGTTTAGAGATAAGTAAACTGAGACCCAGACAGCTACTCGGCCAGTCATGGCAGAACCTTCTAACCACCCAGAGCACTTCCTACCAAGACCATTTAAACTCTGCTTTTTCTGAATACATACTACATGCTCATGGTCCAAAATTCAGGAAGTACCAAAAAAGTGACTTTTGCAAGATCACTTTCAATGGCTGAAGAGGATGAAGCCAAATTATGACAGATTGAAGGGTACAGGCCTGGGAGGGAGAGAAACAGATTTTCTAACTTAAGTGCTGATGTGGTATCTTTCCTGTGGACATTTGTACTGTCTGCCTGTTTGCTAGTTGTAGAATAACAGTTTTATATATTGCTGAGCATATAAAAGGTACGTGTGTGTGTGTAAATGACAAAGAAACTTTCTTGAAACTTCGATGGATACCACAAAGGCAGTCACTGTACCAGCTTTTCACAGGGCTGACGTTCAGTTATCTGCAAGTCAGACTTCTGCCTTGTTCTGTTATGTGTCAGGTACTCTGTCAGGCACTAAACAAGGAATTTTTAAGAGAGAGAGAAGCCAATCCTGATGGTGTGCCTGTAAGCCTAGCTACTTGGGAGGCTACCACAAGAGGAACTTGAGTTCGAGATCAGCAACCTAGTACACTCTCTATTTTTTTTAAAAAAAAGGACAAATTTAAAGAACAGGTAAAGAAAGTTGAGTCTCACATATAAGGAGCGATTAGACTTATTGGAGTAGTGGACATAAAAGAAATGATTACAGTATCATTTGAAAATCACTATTTTCAATAAAAAGTATGTACAAGACACATAGGGAGTTACTTCTCTCTGTCCAGGAGGCTCAGGGAAGGCTTCAGAACAGGGATGATGCTTTGAGTTGAGACTCAGAGTAAATAGAAATTTCCCCAACAGATGGAGGGGGCCAGGGAGTAACGCAGTACCTCCTCCTCACATTAAGTCAACTATATGCTGTTACAGTTTTCTCTAAGGCAGTGACCACTGAGTAGACAGATCTGTGAACTCTGTTTTTGAGCTCCTTTGAGACTTTAGTTGAATCTAGTTGTAAGGTGAGCACTTTAGGAAGCTGTTGTCTTCTCATACTGCAAACCATACAGCACAGGTCCTGAAGGTTGCATAAAACTCAGCAAGCTTACAAAATACGTTATGGGACAAGCCATTGGAACCACTGTCTATTAACAGCCAGGACTTTGACCTTTGCTGACTAGGGCACACAGCCTGGGGATCCTGTGCATCAAGACAAGTAAGAGACTTCCAGGGTGGCTGAGCTAGGGCCTTCACTGACAACTCCTTGCTCCCCCATCTCCATCCCAGTCTTTTCCTGCTGCCCTGATGGTCTTGAGCAGAGGGAAATTCACTTCGGTCTCTTTATAACTTTAACAAGTGGCTCTTACGTGCTAATGTTGTTGGTTTCTGCCTTTTTGAGACCACAACATGACAGAAGTCACTTTAACTTTCACCTTTTCAGATAACATACCGCAGTCTCACTAAATGCATTACATGGCATTTGTATTCAAGATGAAAGATTCTATTAGATCATCTGATTCTCCTATAGCCTTTATCAGATTAATTACTCAATCATTCTTCTAATTTTTTAAATTATTTATTTATTTATTCACTTATTTTTATTTTAATCTAATCAGAAAGAGACATAGAGAGAGAAAGTGAGAAAGCAAGCCACCAGGTCCAGGACTCAAACTGGGGTCAGCCATGTGAGAGTGTCCAGTACCTTAACCACCACACCAGCTGCTGGTCCCTCAATCATTCTTTTATGATCTGAAAAACTAAAATGTGTTTTTCTCATTACTATGAAGAGACTGATGGTGTATGAGAGAGAGAAATAGAATAGGGAGGGGTTTTTATTGTTGTTTTTCTATTTTTATTTTTTTACAATAGGATCTATGTAGCAATCCTGCTGCCTCATCCCCCTGAGCAGTTGGGAGTACAAGTTTACGTCTCCCAGCTTTCGGATGGGCTGGAAATGAACCTACAGTTCCCAACCTGCCAAGTCTACCAGTGCACACTACCGAGAGGGGGCCATGTTCCTTTCAATGTATAGAATACACCAATCTAATTTTTTGTTGTGTGTTTTTGGTCAACTCACGTCTTTATTAAATTTATTTAACTTTATTCATTTTCTCTTTCTTTATGTTTCTTTTAAATATGTATATATGTTCAAAGCAGTTCTAGAGTCACTGCAAAACTGAGTGGAAGTTACAGAGATTTTTCCAGATACTCCTTCCCCACACATACACACAACCTTCCCACTATCCACACCCATGCAGACAGTGCGTTTGTTCCAGCCAATGACGGTACATTGGCACATCATTACCATCCAGAGTCTATAGTTTACATTAGGGTCTACTCTTGGTGTTCTGCATTTTATGTGCTTGTTCACATGTACACAGGTAATTTTAAAAAATAGAAACAAAATGGGGAAAAGGGAAAGATTTTTCAATAGACAAAAAATAGCACTAGGACTCAAATATCCAGTCATCCAGAGTCTTTCCTGCATGTCCTTCTGGTGATAGAGAGTGCAGGGAATTGACGTCTCTGGGCAAGTAGAGTCACAGGAGAGAACCCTGGGGTTTAGTTAACAAGAAACTGCTTCTAGTGCCTTTTTTTCCCCAGACGAATTTAACACTCATCCCATCAATCATGCAAACCTGGCATTCATGCTAGAATCAGACCACCACAGCCCAAATGTCTATCAGATGCTGCTAATTTTAGTTTACTTCCTGTAGCCTCATGTAGAGCAAGGAAAAATCCATAGATTGATACTATAGATGAGTAAATTAGTGTTGCTTGTGCATCTCTTAAAGCCATAAAAGATGAGATCATCCTTAGTTTTTGTTAAATGCATTTGCTATTGTGATGCAACCGGAGGTGTGCTTCAGTCAATGATTTAAACCCTTGAGACTGAGGTTTGATGTAGATAATAGTATGCCTCACTCTGAATCACTGACTTTCTCTGGTTTTTCTTCAGTTCAGGAGCATTGACCCTCAAAGAGTAAAAGATTCTGTCTTCTCACCATTCTAGGGAATAAGTATCAGAACTGGAATGACTGTGATTCCATAACAAGAGCCCTAGAGGATCTGGAATAGCTGGTATTTATGCAAGTGCCTAGTCAGTAGAGAGCTATTTCACACAGAGACCAGGCACATCCTAAATGCATGAGGTACTGCTTTCAAAATGTCCTTCTCCTAGGATCTGACTGAGGTAAAGTGTACCTCTATAACTGACCTATTAAGTGACCTAGAAGTTTGACTATTGAAGCAATGGCAGCACTAAACAAGTTTATAAAAAAAAAAAAAAGTTTTGTAATCAAATACTTGCTTCGGGGTTAAGTTGGTGACTTGATTTGACTATTTTGGTAATTTACGCACAGACTTAATGTTTTCTACAAAGGATAAAAGGACCTTTCTCATACAGTTTGATACTTTACTGACTCTCTCTTTTTTATTTTTTAGAGAGGTTTTTGCAATAAGATGTGTGTGCTCAACAGAGACAGAGAGATAGAAAGCGAGAAATCATGCCCCCTCCCAGGGGGTGGCCACACCCACAATCCCTTCTCCTCCATTCTCCTCTAGGGATTTTGGACACATGCACACGCACCTGGTATGAATTTTAAGACACGGGGTCCGGGACTCAAATTGTGGTCGATTATGTGGGAGTTCAGCAATGTATCCATTATGCCATCCACTGGTCCCTGACCCTTTCTCTTAAATAACACAACAAAAATTTTTTTTAAAGAATTATTGTATTTTAACTTTATTTTTTAAAATTTGATCAGAGGGATAGACTGAGAGAGAAGGAAAGTGAAAAAGCAAGTTGCCAGGTCCAGGACTCAAACCAAGTCAGCCATGTGGGAGTCTAGTGCCCTTAGCCACGCCTCCTGCTGGCCCCAAACATTTTTTTAGAATTATTTTTTATTTAATTGTATTCATTGTCATTATTTTATTTTATTTTTTTATTTTTTATTTTTTGGAGAGGTTTTCACTATAGGGCGTGTGTGCTCGCCAGACAGACAGAGAGAGACATGGAGACAGAAAATGAGAAATCACCCCCTAGAGGGGATGGTCATGCCGCAATCCCTTCTACATTCTCCTCTCGGGATCTTGGGCACGCACACATACGTGCCCAGCGTGAGTTATAAGCCACCTTTACAACCCCCCGGGCCCGGGACGCAAACCGCAGTCGACTACGTGGGAGTCCAGCGACATAGCCATTATGCTAACGGCTGGTTCCCTATTATTTTATTTATTTGTTGTTGACCAGAGAGAGAGAGAGAAGGAAAGTGAGAAACCAAGCTGAACTTGTGGTCAACCATGTGGGAGTCCAGCTGCCTTAACCATCACACCACCTGCCAGTCCCTGGCTCCAAGCTTTAAAGTACCTAAAATAAATGGTACTGCTGATACAAATTAAGTTTAACCTTCAAACTACTTATGAGAAATGTATATAATTCAGTCAATAGTAGTAAATTTAATGTTTATGAGAACAATATTTTATATACTTTAACATTTTATTTTTTAATTTTGTTTATAAGTTTTCTCTTTATTTTGTACTTTATTTTCTTACTTTTAAAAAATATAATCACTGTACATCTCCAGAGCATACAGAATGAATCTTTGCAGCATATTAGCTCAAAGTAATTTACCATACACCTTATCATCAAAAGACAACTTTCCATTATAGTGTCTCATAAATGTTTTGCTTTTTTTCTTTTGATTACTCCCTTCCAACCCCACGTTGTCCACCTTCCTCCTAGACCGTCTTGAGTATTCACTTTTATACCATTGAATCTTTTAGTTTCTTGCCATAGAATACAGACTGTTGGTATATATTAAGTGGAGACATATGATGCCTCTCTTTCATAGTCTGGCTTGCTTCACTTAGCATTAAATCTTCTATATTCATTGACATTCTATCAAATGCCAAGGACTCATTGTTTTCCATGGCTGGGTAGTATTCCATAGTGTATATATGCCACACTTTTTCTTTTTTCTTTGCTTTTTTCATTTCATTTTCTTTTATACGTTCATTCACATTATTATTTGGCTTACAAAACGGATATTTCAACAAGTGAACATTTCTCCCTAGTACAGTTGATAAATGTTATGCTAATTGTAAAGTCATTTCATCTATTATATATTGTGTAAAAATTTACTAGAGTGTATGTGTGCTCACTGCAGACAGAGAGACAGAAGGAAAGTGGAAAGCAGCCCCCGTGAGAGATGGTCACAACACAATTCTTTCTCCTCAGTTACTCCTTTTGGAATTTTGGGCATGCACACACATGTGTACGGTGTGTCTTTCATATCCTGGGGTCTGGTACTTGAATTACGTGTTTGTCCATGTAGGATCCAGCCACCCTAACACTGATCTTCATTGACATTGAAAAGAGTTCAGAAAGAGCAGAGTTGATAGCTTATCTCAAAAAAGCTATTAATGCGGGACCAACAGTTAGTATAATGGCTATGTCGCTGGACTCCCATGTATTCAACTGCAGTTCGAGTCCTGGAACCAGTGTCTTAAAACTCACGCTGGGCGCATGTGTGTGCGTGCCCAAGATCCCAAGAGGAGAATGGAGGAGGAGGGATTGCGACGAGGCCATCCCCCCTAGGGGGGTGATTTCTTGCTTTCTATCTCTCTGTCTGTCTCTGTCTTTTTGACAAGCGCACGTGCCCTATAGCAAAAACCTCTAAAAAAAAAGGCTATTAATGTGTAATACTTGGCCACTGCAGGGCCAGCAGGTGATGTAGTGGTTTAGGTGTTGGATTCCCGCATGACTGACTGTGACTTAAGTCCTAAACCCAGTGAGTATAAACTCATGCTGGGCACATCGATATATGTGCCCAAAAATCCCAAGAGGAGAATGGAGGACAAGGGATTGCTATTGCTGCGTGGCCATTTTCCCTGGGGGTTAATTTCTTACTTTCTCTCTCTCTGACTCTCCAGTGAGTGCACACACCCTTTAGCAAAAATCTCTTGCTAAAAAAAATAGGCAGTTGGCACTGCCTAAGTTATGTAAAAACATAATTGTCTCATTTTTAAAAATTTATTTATTTAATTCCACTTGTTATTGTTATTATTTATTTTTGTAAGAATTATCTTAACTTTGTTTATTTAAATATGACACAGATAGGGATAAGAGCAAGAGAGAGAGAGAGAAAGTGAGAAAGCAAGTAACCAGGTCCGGGATTTGAGGCACAGTCGGCCATGTGAGAGTCTAGCGCTCTTAACCACAACACTGGCTGGGCCTCATCTAATCTTTAAAGCAGATTGAATAACCCTCATTCAAAATGTTTACAACCGAAGTTTTTTGTTTGTTTGTTTTTGTTTTTTGGAGAGGTTTTTGCTGTAGGGCGCGTGCACTCGCCAGACAGATAGAGACAGAGAGACAGAAAGCAAGAAGTCACCCCCCAGGGGGAATGGCCACGCCGCAATCCCATCTCCTCCGTTCTCCTCTGGGATCTTGGGCAGGCACACACATGCGCCTGGCGTGAGTTTAAGCCACCGGGTCTGGGACTCAAACCATGGTCGACTACGTGGGAGTCCAGCGACATAGCCATTACGCTAACTGCTGGTCCCCGAGGTTTTGTTTTTGTTTTTGTTTTTGTTTTTGTTTTTTTGAGAGGTTTTTGCTATAGGGTGCATGCGCTCGTCAGAGAGAGACAGAGAGACAGAAAGCGAGAAACTAGAAATCACCCCCTAGGGGGGATGACCACACCAAAATCCCTTCTCCTCCATTCTCCTCTCGGGATCTTGGGCACACACGCACACGCGCCTGTCCTGAGTTTTAAGCCACTGGGTCTGGGATGCGAACCGTGGTCGACTACATGGGATTCCAGCGACATAGCCATTATGCTAACTGCTGGTCCCCGAAGTATTTTTATTTTAGATTTTTTTTTTCAGATTTTTTGATATCTGCATATACATAATGAGATATTTTGGAGATAGGGCCCAGTCTAAACATGACATTAATTTATATTTCATAAACTTCTTATACACATGGCTAAAGATAAATTTCATATAATATTTTTGTAATTGCAGCATTTTGATTTGAGTTCAGGTGTGGATTTTTCCGCTCGTGGTGTCATGTTGGCACTCAGAAAGTTTCAGATTTTGGAGCATTTTGGGTTGTGGATACTGGGCATGCTCAGTCTGAAGTGTGTTTTATTGTGAATTCAAGGTATTTGCTATACTTGTCAATAAGGAAAAGGAACTTTATTCTATTACAGTCTTTCTTGTTTAATTTTAGTTATTTCTTCCATGAACGAGAGAGAGAGACAAAGAGGAAGTCACCCGGACAGTATCTTCAGCCCCAGATTGCAGGCACACCTGTGCCCAGTGTGTTCAGGGAGGCCTGCAGTCACAAACCTGGAACACTTTCTCATGGGTCAGCCTTGCAGAGTGTGGCATTGCCACTGTGCCACCATCTGACCCCTGAGCCTTCTTAGTCCTCGGAATAATGAACCAAGGTTTGGCTTGGGATCTGATTGTCCAAACACTTCTGAAAATGAATAGGAAAATAATATGGGAGCTGTATTTGTTTATCTAGTTTTCTTATTTTTCGTAATGGTTTAATCTTTTTCTTGAGGTCATGAAGCAGATGAAAAGTAAAATGAGAGATCTAATATTATCGATAACAACTTAAGATGGAGGAAAATGTTCAAAGAGTCTGGCTACAACTGCCTGAAAATTAGGAGATTACATTGGACTCTTTCTCATTAGCAAGATTTATAAGAGACTAGAAGTCTGAAACTGTGAACTGTAAGTGGGATATGCTTCAACAGAAGAAGAATGCTAGAAGTCATGAGTTAAAGGAATACTAGCTGGGGAATTAGGGAACGTACTCAGTGCCCTAGGGATACCTGTTTCCTCTTCTCCTTGGTTTACTGTTCTAAATGCATTTCACCTTTAGACAATCTGATGGGAGAATTGCAGCAGCTCCAAACGCAGGGAAAGAATCATTGAGGTGGTTGGGAGAGGAGGTCATTTAAGGAATACATTTCAAGGAGAAATAAAAATTTAAAAGAGAGGACTGACAGTGGTGCAGCAATAAAATGTGACAACTATGTGAGACTGACCCACAGAGTGGGAAGGTTCTGGGTTCACAACTGAGCACTTCCTCAGTACGCTGGGTGTTCATGTGCTCATGGTCTGGGCTAACTGAACTGTGGGTGGATGCTGGCATCAAGATGCTATTGTGGGTACTGTGTCTTTCTCTGTCTCTTTCATGCATGGAATAAATAAGTGAGCTTTTAGAAGTTTGAAAAAGCTGGCATTTATTCTGTGCAAGTCTTTGTTTGAGGAGGAAGGCATAATTGACAAAGATACAGGAATCAGTGTGTACGTTTCCTGTTAGAACATTATTTAAATTTGCAGATCTGTAGTTCCATTTTTCACATGACAACCATTCAAACTGTGTTTGTTCTACTCAGGAAATTTAGCTCAGTATATGGATTAACAGCTATTCTACTCGCATAATAGTTATGACAACCACAGAAGACACATTTGGGGCAATTTTAAAAAGCTTAATAACTTTCATGTTTAATTTTTTTATAAAATGCCTATATTACTTTGTGGTGTTTTCAATCAATGACTTCATATTAAAACAAACAGCCCAGTCTCCGTGGCATAGCTGGCAGTATACTGGACTGCTGAGCTAGAAGCCCATGGTCCCACACTCTATGGCAGAAACTGAAATATTAAAGGATATAGAAGCATGGAAAATGGTTACAAATACTGACTGTGGGAAGAGAGTGAGAGATGGGGGGAGAGTGAGAAGAAAGGAATCAAGGAGAAAAATAGAGAGGCAAGACATTTAAGGGACACAGAAATGGAGGATTGTCTGTTGATGATAACATGTATGATATCTTCAGCTGGACTGGTATGAAGTCTATCCATGTTGAGTAAATTCATTTTACAAGCTACAGTGATGGGGACCAGCAGCTGGCGTAATGACTATGTCGCTAGACTCCCATGTAGTCAACTGCGTTTCGAGTCCTGAACCCAGTGGCTTAAACTCACGCCTGGCGCATGTGCATGTGTGCCCAAGATCCCGAGAGGAGAATGGAGGAGAAGGGATTGTAGCATGGCCATCCCCCTCGGGGGGGTGATGATTTCTCACTTTCTGTCTCTCTGTCTTTCTGGAGAGCACATGTGCCCAATAGCAAAAAACTCTCAAAAAAAAAAAAAAAGCAGTGAGGTACAGTGGTTGAATGTATAAAATAAAAAATATTTAAAAAAAGAAAAGAAAAAGAAGCCCCATGCTGACTGGGATTGGAGTCCCTGGCCCAGTTGGCCTGAAGACACATTGGGTGCACGCGTATGTGCCCAGCATCCTGGTGACCTAGAGGACTAGAGAAAGGGGATTGCAGTGTGACCGAGCACTCTCTCTTCTCTCATGCACATGTGATCTATCATGAATTTTAAAAAACATCATAAACAAAAATCAAATTCTTTTTAATAGTTGTCTGTGCTGTGAATGCCCTCGCCCACCATGTGCTTAATAAGGACCTCAGGGACATTGTCGGTGACTTCAGAGGCTTCTACAGGCAGCTCACGAGTGACGGGCAGCTCAGATGGGTAAGGCACCTATTTTGTAAAATGCTTTTGGAAATAATATTACCAAGGTCTAAGATATCGTTTGATTGCAACAAAGGTGACAACGGAGATGAGTTTACATTTTAAAATAAAACATTTTACTCCAATGAATTAAGGCTTGACTAGTTAGACAATCAGTGTTTTTGGATAACCATTTCCTTTCTGTAGTACGTCAATCTGGATGTACTTGGGTTCTGGAAGTTTCTGCTCTTATGACCCTTATATCCCACTCCTCTAATTTGGAAAACTAGTCTGGGGGTAAAGTACCAAATGGGCAACCTTTTATGAAGAGAAAATGTGAGTAGTAATGGCATTGTAGAAGAGGTTATTAAGGAGAGAAACAGAAGAGCAAAGTATAAAGTCAGAGACCTTAGTACATTTTATGTACATGTACCTGATAGGTCAGCATTTCAACTATGAGTTCACAGCATGAGAAAGGGAGTAAGATGTCTCCTGGTATTGGGTTCATCTTTTCCTAGTTCTGCTCAGTTTCCCATCGATACACGGAGAAGGGCACAAGAATATATTTCCCATATTGTCTTAGATTGCATTGTTTACTTTCTGCAAAGCAAGTTAAACTTGCCTTGAAAGCTGTTATTTTAAAGAAGTTCCCACTGACCAAACATGGGACAGTTTGAGCATCCAGACAGTAGTGACTTATAGCCCACTGAGTAAAAATAAGAATCCATGAGTCCATTCCAATAATAAACAATTAACTAGAGAAGAATCATCATCACAGTAGAGTATAAGAGGATGATAACACTAGAAAGTCACCATTTTATAACGGTCTTAGATATAATTAATCAAAGCAAGAGTTATCAATGGATGCTAAAATTTGGAAACAGTAGGAATCTCCTTGCTTAGAAAGGAAAAATGGTAGCTTTGCAGTGGAGAAACCAATGGATACTAGCTTACCAAAGCACTGAAATTTAAAACTCTAATAATAAAACAAAGTGGATTCATTTCTTATGTAATGTTTATACTGAAAAGTGTATAACCTGAATCAAATCATGAAGCAACTCCAGGTCAGCCCAGACTGAGGAATACTGTACAAGTCAACTCACCTCTGCTCTTTAAAAATGTTGGTTTTGAGACCAGCAGTTGGCATAATGGCTGTGTCACTGGACTCCCATGTAGTCAACTGTGATTTGAGTCCTGGACCCAGTGGCTTAAATTCACGCCAGGTGCGTGTGTGTGCGTGCCTAAGATCCCCAGAGGAGAATGGAGGAGAAGGGGTTGTGACATGGCCATTCCCCCTTGGGGGGGGGAGTGATTTCTCGCTTTCTGTCTCTCTGTCTCTCTCTGTCTTTCTGGCAAGCGCACGCGCCCTATAGCAAAAACCTGTTCAAAAAAAGAAAAAGAAAAAAAGTGTTGGTTTCATTTAAAAAGAATAAGACAGTTGGTACAAATAAAGAGACACGACAACCTAGTGCAATAAGTGATCCTGGCTTGGATATGGAGCAGGGTAAAATACAGTGTATTACTGGGAAATGAGTGACATTTGATTACAGTCTAGCTTTTAGAAAATAGTATTCCATCAATGTGATAGTCCCTGAATGTGATTATTGTACTACGATTATGTAAGAAAATGTCCTTGTTTTTAGGAATTACACAGAGACATATTTAGGGTTAAAAGAGCTTGATAGCTACATCTTTGCTCTCATATGGTTCAGAAACAAAAAAATAAACTCTATATATCTACATGTAGGCATATATGTGTGTATATATATATGTGTGTGTGTGTATATATCTATATAGAGATATACACTAAATATAAAGAGGGAGGTGGGGAAGACAGGAAGAAAGAGTTTCTGCACCTCTTTTGTAGGTTAGAAACTTTTTAACTTTTAGGTGACTTTCCATTATGGCCTCCTAATTTTTTTTTTTTTTTTTTTTTTTTTTTTTTTGAGAGGTTTTCGCTATAGGGCGCGTTGGCTCGCCAGACAGAGAGAGACAGAGAGACAGAAAGTGAGAAATCACCCCCCAGGGGGGATGGCCATGCCGCAATTTCTTCTCCCCCATTCTCCTCTCGGGATCTTGGGCACGCACGCACGTGCACCCAGCGTGAGTTTTAAGCCACCGGGTCCGGGACGCAAACCGCGATCGACTATGTGGGAGTCCAGCGACGTAGCCATTACGTTCACTGCTGGTTCCCACTGCCTCCTAATTCTTGAAATGTGTCCTAATTCTTGAACTGTATCCCTGGCTAGAACATCTAAATGTCTTTTTCATTTCTAAGAAGTGCTGTTGCTCTTTGCTTCCCACGCAGATTGGTCCGGAGAAGGGCGTGGTGCACCTGGCAACGGCGGCCGTCCTAAATGCGGTGTGGGACCTGTGGGCAAAGCAGGAGGGCAAGGTGACGGTCTGCTGAGTCTTCTGTGGAACAGATTGTGTGTGACTTTCTCTACCAGCGGTCAATAAAAGGCAAAGGACAAACACACCACAGATCCCTAAAAGGAAATACAGAGAATTATTTCATTTTTTCCTACTCCTGAGAGATGTTGGCAGTAGTTAGAAAATTGTAGGAGTTGGTTAGAAAGGGCTGAAAACAAGGGGGAGAGTCGGCACAGTGCAGGGCCAGGAGACAACAGAAGGTGCAGGCAACCTTAGAGACGGAGTGGATGAGTGGGTCAGATGTCTGTCTGAGTGGGAGTTTGCCACTAGCAAATTCATTGTCAGGGAAAAATGGGTGCTTTGTACATATGTATTACAAATCTTCTCTCTCTTTTTTTCCTTCAAGCCTCTGTGGAGGTTACTTGTGGATATGGTAAGTAGATTGTTTAATATTCCAATTGTCTCTGTAAAGGAATGGATTTCATGGGTTACTTGGCTTTTGACAATCAATAAATATATTCAGGACTGTCTGTTGATTGCTGTAGTGAGGATAAAGCCAAAAAAAAAAGAAGAAGAAAAGAAATACAGAAAAGAGAAACAAAAAGGGGGTGCAGACAGTGGTGTAGCAGTAAAACACAGTGCTGTGTAAGGCTGACCCACATGGGGAGGCTTTAGGTAAGCGTCCCATAGACCTCCCTGAGTGCAGTGGGCATGTGTGTGCTAGGGCTGGTGAACCTGGGGGTAGATTAGCAGCATCAACACCCTGTTGGGGGTGTTCTCTTTCTCTCTCTCTCTCTATCTATCTCTTGCTCTTGAAAGAAATTTTTAAAAACTCTAAAAAGAAACTTAAAAGAAGCAGTCAAAGATAAGATTCTTCTGCACTTAAAGTAACAGCTGTGCTCATGCAGGCAGGGTGTTAAAGTCCTGCCTCCTTCGCTGTAGGTCTGTCACATGGGACCCAAATCCTCTGAGTTTCCATTGCCTATAAAAAGAGGATCATCATAGCTTCTCTAGGAACCTCACAGAATTACTTTAAAGACCATGGGAGAAAAGAATTTTGTAATCTCTGAAGAGCATGATGTAATTACGACAGTATTATCCAGTCACTTGGACTTCAAAAGCCAGATCCGATTATCATGGTCTCCACTGTGCAGTTCAGACAGAGAAGGAGCTCCACTCTGGATTCTAAGGAATGTGCTTGGCCATGTTCTTTCTCCTTGACCTTTTTCTAGCAGGGATGAGCACCTGAATGCTAAGGAGGGAAAAACCCTAGGCAAGATAAAGGGGCATGAACTATAGATCCAGTTGAACTGGCTTTGAATCCAGGCTTCACTGCTAACTAGCTGGGTGACCCTGAGCATGTTACTGACCCACTCTGAGCTTGAGCTGTCTCAGTGTGATGCCTTGGATGGTCACTACAAGTCTGTTGTCCACAAATGAAAGCCCTTGTGGTTATTTGGTTACAACATTAAGGAAAAATCAAGGGAATGCCACAGCCTTGAAGACCGTTAGACTGGTCAGCTTTGCTCCTTCTTTTGTTTATTTTTTTATTTTTTTGCTATTGGGCACGTGCGCTCGCCAGACAAACAGAGAGAGACAGAGAGAAAGCAAGAAATCACCCCCCAGGGGGGATGGCCACGCAGCAATTCCTTCTCCTCTATTCCCCTCTTGGGATCTTGGGTATGCACGCACACGCGCCTGGCGTGAGTTTTAAGCCACCAGGTCTGGGACATGAACCGCGGTCGACTACGTGGGAGTCCAGTGACACAGCCATTATGCTAACTGCTGGTCCCAGCTTTGCTCCTTCTTTGAAGGAAAGGGAAGATAGTAGGCTGTCATGTCATCTCCCCAACATGGCTGAGTGTGGTGTGGGGCCCATCTGAAAGGGAAGGATGTAGACCTGGTGAGCCACCTTCCAGGTTCAGCCATAGCCTTTCACAGAGGTGGCTGCCAAAAGAGAATGATCTGAGAGTCCCAGAAGGGTACTCAATATCCCTCCCGTGGACTTCCATTTTTTTTTTTTTTCGTTTTTGAGAGGTTTTTGCTATAGGGTGTGTGAGCTCTCCAGAAAGAGAGAGATAGAGAGACGGAAAGTGAGAAATCATCCCCCAGGGGGATAGCCATGTTGCAATCCCTTATCCCTTCTCCTCTTGGGATCTTGGGCACACATGCACACGCGCCCAGCATGAGTTTAAGTCACTGGGTCCGGGGCTCAAACCGTGGTCGATTACAAGGGAGTCCAGTGACATAGCCATTACTCCAACTGCTGGTCCCATATGGACTTCCATTGTTTTAATCCTGCTCCCTGTTTCAATACTAGTACTCTTTATCAAAAACAACAAAAAAGAATTACTTTATTTAAAGAGACCAGAGACGGTGGGGGACGGGCAGGGAGGGAAGTGAGAAAGCAAGTTGCTGGGTCTGAGACTTGAACCGCAGTCAGCCTTGTGGGAGTCCAGCACCCTTAACCACCATGCCACCTGCTGGCCCCCTCAATGCCAGTACTCTTAAAAGAAGCAGAATGTGATGATTGAAAGAGTTTTTAAGATTTTTTAATAGTTACAGGACAGGCTCAGTGGAATAGTAATATGCTGTTCATGCAATGCTGGATCCCTGTGTTGGATCATGGGTTTGGTTCCCCAGTTGACCTGTGCACCCTGGGTACAGCCATGACACTGGCTGGCTAGGAGGACTGGCGGTGCGGATTGCAGCATGAGACCCTGTTGAGAGTTCTTGTCTTTCTTACTTTCTTTCTGTGTCTCTGTCTTTGTCTTTCTCTTTCTCATGAAAGAAATAGGTAAACTTAAAATATATATATTTTTATGATACCCTGTAAGCATGCTTGGAAGAGACAGAAACAGGGCAAAAGAAAACGTGGCCTCAGCATGGTCTCATCACACCATGATCCCCTTTCCCTAGGTTTCCAGCTCCTCAGGGTCCTGGGGACACACATTCTCCTGTCATGATTTTAGGCGGAGCATGAGCTCTGAGCTCATGGCAGCCTTGTGGGGAGGACACTGTGATACTGCTGCCCCACAGTGTCTAGACTGAAAAAAAAAAATTTTAATGGATAAAGAAGAGTATTATCTGGTCACTCTAAGACATTGGTAGGAATGGAGCTACCAGTTGTTTTCCAACCAACCAAATGTCCAGTGTACGTAGGAGAGTCAGCACAAGTTCCTACTGAGATGTTTGACTTCCCAGAGTGGCCAGAGCACAGCCACTGTGGAGAGACAAGCCCGGGGGTAATCCAGGTGGTCAGCCCACTCCTGTTTCAGTCACATCATTCTTGTCCTGAAGAGAAGTCCCCCCTTTGACAGGAGAAGAAATTGTCCACAGTCATGCTGCTGGTGAGCACCGGGCCCAGGACTACCCTGTGGGGCCTGGATCCAAGAGCAGCCTTTTTTCCTCTGCAGCTGAGCTGCTCAGGAACAACGCCTGCCCCGAGGTGTGGAGCAGACCTGTAGAGCAAGGCTGGGCATTCATCATTCATTTAACTCTACTCAGCATTTGTCTCCTGCCAGGGCTTCTCTCCTAGAAAACCATATTAGTTAGAAAGAATGAACAGGAGTGAGGGGTTACAGGTCTAGGGATGAGGACCTGAGACCTTTGTCAGGGCCAGCGCTGAACCTCTGAAAGATGCTACATGAAGAAATGACAGGAGACCAGCAGTTAGCATAATGGCTGTGTCACTGGACTCCATGTAGTCGACTGCGGTTCGAGTCCTGGACCCAGTGGCTTAAATTCATGCCGGACGTGGCCATCCCCCCTGGGGGGTGATTTCTCACTTTCTGTCTCTCTCTTTCTGGCAAGCGCACGGGCCCTATAGGAAAATAAACAAACAAACAAACAAAAAGAACCTCTACAAAAAAAAAGAGAGAGAGAGAAATGACAGAACCAGCACAAATCCCAAAAGTGCCTCCCTGGAAAGGATAAGCCCCATGCGGTGTTGTAGGCAGCTTCTCAGAAGCATGAGCTGCCTTTGAATTGATTTGGGCCTTTTCCCCTCTTGTCACGCTGCCAGGACCCCAGGACACTGTTATCCTGCATAGACTTCAGGTACATCACCGATGTCCTGACTGAGGAGGAGGCCTATGGTGAGTCGTGCTTTAGCCGAAGGACTGGTAGTTTCCTGTCCGTACTGGTGTGCCCCCATAGTAGCAGCATGCTTTGTGGTCTAAAAGACTGAGCGAAGCATTTTATTTATTTATTTATTTATTTATTTTCAGAAATACTGCAGAAAGGTCAACTTGGTAAAAAAGAAAGAGGTAAGTTGTGAGAAAATGTTCTTCGTCCTTCATGCCATCATTACCCACTTCTTAGTGCCCCTTGTCCTCTCAAATGCCCTGTGGCAAGCAGCTGGTCCTCAGGCAGACATTTGAGTCTGGACGAAGAAGCCTCCTGGGTTATGGCCTTGGGCTGCAGAGAAAGAAACTCTAGCATTAGATGACTCTACAGGATAGGGAGGGCCCTCAGGGAGTGGGGCAGTCTGAAGGGGCATCCTGTCACCTGGGTGTGACATCCTCCGGAGGCTGGACTTGTGGCCGGGCATGTATGAAGGGCACTGGGGAGAACAGCCAGGTTCTCTGTGGCAACAGCTTAGCTGCAGGCAACTCTAATTCCTAAAGTCCCTGGACAGGTTAACATATTGACAAGTGTTGTTCCCGCAGAAGAGCAGATGTTGACACACGGCTACCCTGCCTACACCACATCCTGCGCCTGGCTGGGGTACTCAGACGACACATTGAAGCAGGTAGGCTTTGTTCCTTGGAGAGGTTTTTGCTTTAGGGCACATGCACTCACCAGAAAGGCAGAGAGAGACAGAGAGACAGAAAGCGAGAAATCACCTCTCCCCCGGGGTGATGGCCATCACACTCCTTTCTCCTCCATTCTCTTCTCTGGATCTTGGGCACGCTCGCACACATGCCCAGCATGAGTTTAAGCCATAGGGCCCAGGACTTGAACCAGTCAACTACATGGGAGCCCAGCGACATAGCAATTACTCCAACTGCTGATCCTGAAGCAGGTAGGCTTTTAAACCTGGGTTTTGAACAGGCCCAATGTGGAAAAATAAACGGTTCTCCTTCTGTACTCACGCTATGACTTTCACCATTTTACTCTGACACCAGTGGGACGTGGTGACAACCAGTCTTCCAGTCTCTGTGGACACAGACTGAGTGTCCTCCGGTTCAGCTCATTTCTGGCGCTGTCTACCTGATCTGGGTGTGATCCCACCATCAATGGCGCAGTCCCACAGAACTGTCCCCCACTTCAGACACCAGTTGCAACTTCAGGTTGTCACCTGTGCTTCTGATCGACTGGAAGTTCCCTACAAACCCTCTCCCATTGAGTTTTATCATTTTCTAGAATAGCTCAGAATCCAGGAAACATTTACTGATGCTTGCTGGTTTATTATGAACACTACAACTCAGGAATAGTAGATGGAAACGGTGCACAGAGCAAGGCGCATGGGAAGGGGCCTAAACTTCCATGCCCTTCCCAGGTATGCCACTCTTCCAGCACCTCCTTGTGTTCTCTGATGCTGAAACTCTCTGAACCCCATTTTTTAGGGTTTTCGTGGAGGCTCCATTACACAAGCATGATTGATTACTTCATTGGCCATTGTTATCAACTCAACCTTCAGCCACTTTCTTCCCCAGGGTCAAGGGGTAGGCCTGAAAGTTCTAAACCCATAATGAGGCGTGGTCTTTTTGGCGACCAGCCCCCATACGGGGACTTAGAGCATGAAGCTATAAGGGCCCTCATAGGGACATCTCATTAGCATACAAAGACACTCTTATCACTTAGGAGAGTCTAAAGATTTTAGGAGCTAGTGCCAAGAAATGGGCACAGAGACCAGATATGAATTTCTTAATATGTCACACAGGATTTATATTCTTGAGTTAATATTTTCTTTTTTCTTTGGAGAGGTTTTTGCTATGGGGCATGTGCACTCACCAGAAAGACAGAGAGAGACAGAGACAGAAAGCGAGAAATCATCCCCCATGGGGGATGGCCACGCCACAATCCCTTCTTCATTCTCCTTTCAGGATCCTGGGCACACATGCACATGTGCCTGGCATGAGTTTAAGCCACCGGGTCCAGCACTTGAACCATGGTCGATTACATGGGAGTCCAGCAACATAGCCATTACACTAACTGCTGGTCCCATGTTAATATTTTCTCGTTAGCCTTTCTAAATCATTTTGGATCCTAAGCCTCATTTTGAAAATACAAGCATAAGTTAAGCCATTTGCATTGTGTACGCTAGGACTCTGGCTTAGTGAGTCCCATCTTGGGCTCTGGAAGGTGAAAGCCTAGGATTTAATTCCTAGACAGAGCCAGTCATGGAACATTGTACAGTAGCTTAACCAGGCTGAGCTTCAGTTTCCTCTCTGTGAAGTAAGGACATTTGGTTTGAGGATCCAGAGAAGTGTTGTAAGTTATCTACAGTAGCTGGCACATGGCAGGCAGACAGGGCATGGTTGTTTATTACTTTCCTTCATCATATTGTCATTACCTAGAGCCCAGGGGAGGGGAGGACGTGCTTCTTCTTGTGTTTGTTACATTCATTAGTTCTATGGATGCCACCGAATATTCAAGCTTTAAAAAGAAGGGTATTGATGCCACATTCTCCTGCCAGAGATGTGATCGAAAAATAGTTTCCATAGAGATGAGAAACCTCTACCTACAAGTAGAAAGAGCCACGCTCTGTCTGTTGGCCGAGCTATTTCTGCTCTTGATTCAACAACACATGGTTGTCTTCTCTCAGGATCTTGGGCACACATGCACACGCGCCTGGCATGAGTTTAAGCCACCGGGTTCGGCACTTGAACCATGGTCGATTACATGGGAGTCCAGCAACATAGCCATTACACTAACTGCTGGTCCCATGTTAATATTTTCTCGTTAGCCTTTCTAAATCATTTTGGATCCTAAGCCTCATTTTGAAAATACAAGCATAAGTTAAGCCATTTGCATTGTGTACGCTAGGACTCTGGCTTAGTGAGTCCCATCTTGGGCTCTGGAAGGTGAAAGCCTAGGATTTAATTCCTAGACAGAGCCAGTCATGGAACATTGTACAGTAGCTTAACCAGGCTGAGCTTCAGTTTCCTCTCTGTGAAGTAAGGACATTTGGTTTGAGGATCCAGAGAAGTGTTGTAAGTTATCTACAGTAGCTGGCACATGGCAGGCAGACAGGGCATGGTTGTTTATTACTTTCCTTCATCATATTGTCATTACCTAGAGCCCAGGGGAGGGGAGGACGTGCTTCTTCTTGTGTTTGTTACATTCATTAGTTCTATGGATGCCACCGAATATTCAAGCTTTAAAAAGAAGGGTATTGATGCCACATTCTCCTGCCAGAGATGTGATCGAAAAATAGTTTCCATAGAGATGAGAAACCTCTACCTACAAGTAGAAAGAGCCACGCTCTGTCTGTTGGCCGAGCTATTTCTGCTCTTGATTCAACAACACATGGTTGTTCTTCTGTCTTGTGCAATGACCATAATGTTTGTGAAGCCCAGATCAGATACTGCTGCGGGCCTGCTCAGGTCCAGGTTGCTCCTCCTGTGTAACGCTAGGTTGCTCTCTCCCACAGCTCTGCACAGAGGCACTGAAGGACGGCTGGACCAGGTAGGCTACCTGTATGCTAGTGGCCTTGACTTTCCCAGTTAGAGGCATGACAGACCTCCTCAGTGGAGGGAAGCCTGGGATGAAAACGCACCCACGAGGCCAGCACCGATCTGGCACACAGGTGTGAGAGACATTCCTACCTAGGCCAGGCTCCTTCTCTAAAGACAATACGTGAGTCCAAATTGGCATGCTAGATCATCAGAATTCAGATATTGCGGAGAGTGCTGATTTCAAGTGCCAGAAATCTATTCTTTTTGATCAGTTAAAAAGCATTGATTCACCTTCTGCTCGAACATCTCCGGAGGCAGCAGCTTAATCTAGCAAAGCACTTTTCCATTGATCGAAGGCTCGGAGTCATTAAAGCTGAGAACCCTTTGCTTCCACATTATTGCCAGCCGCTGGCCTGAGTTCTTCTCCATGGAGTTACCTGGACCTGGGCTCATTCTCTGCCTCTTGAATGACACCCCATGGACCTCTTCCTTTCCAGACTGACCATGTGCACTTCCCCCCCTCTATCAATCATATGTGTGATTACAGACCCGTGAGCATCCTAGGAGTTTCCTCTGGACGAACTATGGTTGTCAGTGACTCTGAATCCTGATGCAGGGCAGGACTCAGAGGGACAGTATTCTCTCTTGATCTCCTCACGACGAGTTCCTGAATGCGCCTCAGGGTGGCTCTTTTCACCAGGCCTCAACCTGACTGGTTCCTGCTTTGGGCAACAAGCCTCCTACTCCTCAGAGTGTGGTTCATGGAGCAGCAATATCAGTGTCACCTGGGAGCTTGTCAGAAATGTGGGGTCTTGGGCCTCTCCTCAGACTTGTTGGGTCAGAATCTCATTTTAACAAGATCCCTAGGTGATTCATATGCATGCTTCAATTCACGAGGAGCAGAATTCTTGTCAACGCTTCAGCTAAATAAAGCATTGAGGAATAAGGACTTGAAGGAGGCAGCATGAAGCAGTGGGCAGTGGCTTTGGGCCCTCATGGACTTAGAATCCAGCCTTGCCTTTTTTCCCTCATCTCCTGCAAGCACTTGCTGTGTGATCGTGGCCAAGTCGTTCCACCTCTCTGAACTTCATTTTCTCTCTCTATAAAATAGAAATAATATTAAGTCATGGTTCTCCTCGAAGTTGTCATATCTGACAAAGAGCAGTTTGGGGTGGGATTCAGAGCAGAATTTGAGTACATGCTCACCTCCTGCCTTCCCTCACATACCTAGGAGAGGAAGGAGTAATCAGATCTGGTGAGTCAGAGAAGGCTGTGGAGAGATTTCCTGGGTCTCCCTCCTGGCACAGGAAGCCTGGCATCTAGAGCTAGTGGTCAATACCCTCTCATAAGAACCATAATTGGGACCAGCAGTTAGCGTAATGGCTATGTGGCTGGATTTCCATGTAGTCGACTGCAGTTCAAGTCCCGGACCCGGTGGCTTAAACTCAGGCCGGGCGTGTGTGCCCAAGATCCCGAGAGGAGAACAGAGGAGAAGGGATTGCAGTGTGGCCATCCCCCCTCAGGGGTGATTTCTCGCTTTCTGTCTCTCTGTCTCTGTCTGTCTGTCTGGCGAGCGCATGCACCCTATAGCAAAAACCTCTCCAAAAAAAAAATAATAATAACCATGATCATGGGAACAGCAGATGGCATAATGGTTACGTTGCTCGACTCCCACATAGTTGGCAGCGGTTCAAGTCCTAGACCTAGCAACTTAAAACTCATGCTGGGCACATGTGCATGCGTGTGTGCCCAAAATCCTGAGAGGAGAATGGAAGAGAAGGGATTGCAGAATTGCCATCCCCCCTGGAGGGTGATTTCTCACTTTTTGTCTTGCTGTCTCTCTGGTGCCCTATAGCAAAAATCTATTAAAAGAAAAACAGATAAAGAACCATGATCATGTAGTCGAAGCTCCCACCTGGCATATATAGCATCTTTAGTGTGTTTACTGCTAAACGTGGGGCGAGCACAGCAGTGGGAATGTGGGTGCATGTACTACTCTGGGAGCTGGGGTGCTTTATAGGCAAAGAGGCTGGATGCTTGGGAAAGTAGGAGGAAGACCTCAGATTGTCCCGAGCTCTGTCTAGAGCAGCAGCCATTTCCATTTCCAAAGGCAACCTTGATACCAAGTGTGCAAGAAGAGGCTGGTGGGCCAGGGAGCAGATGCTGGCCTTACCACACTGGGCCCCTGCTTCCATACATGTGTGGAAATGCCCACACTCAGACCAATGACACTTTTCTGATGGTAGAGTTGCAGGGTATGACTGTAGAGGCCCATGTCACTAGAGAATAGTTGGGTGTTAAATCAGATTTAGAGTCTGACCTGCAGTGCAGCAGTTAAGCGCTATAACAGAGGGGACCGAATCCCCATGACAAACCATGATTTGAATCCAGTCTGGCAAGTTGAAAAACACTCAAGTGCATGTATGCCCAGGATCTTGTTCAGATGGAGAATTGGAGGAAAAAATGGATTGTGATGTGACTAGACCCTACTGGAGGTGGGTGCTTTCTCTTTCTCTTTTGTGTATGTGTAAGCATTCTCTGTCATTAAAACAAACACACAAAAACAAAAACAGATTGAAAAGCTCTCTGGAAGAGGCTGGATGTGGTGTAAAGGAGATCTCTGCCCTAAGGTTCAAGCTACACTCTGCTGAGACAGTTGTGTGCCTTTTCCTCCCCAGCTTTAGGCCCCTGGACCTGGGAACAGATTCTCCCTATGACCTTGCTTGCACTCAGTTCATTTAAGAGAAAGCTCCCTGTGGAAAGGGCTATGCAAATGTATCTACTTTACAATCATACTCTAGACACAGGCTGTCACGTGGTGGCTCCCTCCTCACCCCTTGTCAGCTCTCCCACCCTCATCAGTTCTGACCAAGGCTTTTCATTCTTAATTCTTTTTCATGACACAGCAGAAACTCAATTAGTTGTATTAAATCTAACTTCTATGTCCAGTTCTTTAACTGCAGGTCAGCAGGTAACTGGGAGTTATTGCCCTGATACTGAGTAAAGAGATAAAGTTTACAGGTTTATTTTCAAGTGATTCGTCTGCAGATTGGGCAAGCATGAAAGGTTACTAGAAAATGTGGTTTGTGAATTATTGACAGAGATGATCATTTCTGCAATGATCCAGGTACCTTTGCCAAGTCAAGGGACAGCTCTAAACTACCAAACCAAATGTATCTTACAGGTTTAAAGTAAAGGTTGGTGCTGATCTCAAGGACGATATGCGTAGATGCCGACTCATCAGAGACATGATTGGACCAGAGAAGGCTTTGGTAAATACCCTCACATCCTAAGAAACAGCAGCCTTGCTTGAAGCCTTTGTCCAGAGCCCAAATACAACTCCTTTCAAGAAGGATTAAAGTGGGTCAGCAGGTGATATGGTGGCTAGGACCTCTGGGTTTCCATATGGCCAACCCTGGTTCGAGTCCTGGACCTGGCCCATTGCTTTCTCATTTTCTTTTCTCTCTCTCTCTGGTCAAATTAAAAAATAATAATAACAAATGGAATTAAATAAATAAGTAATTCTCTTTTTTTTTTTTAAAGGATTAAGGTTATTGGGAGTTTCTTTCTTTCTTTTTTTTTTTTTTTTTTTTGGAGTTTTTGCTATAGGGCACATGCGCTCACCAGAAAGAGAGAGACAAAGAGACAGAAAGAGAGAAATCACCCCCCTAGGGGGGATGGCCACACCACAATCCCTTCTTCATTCTCCTCTTAGGATCATGGGCACACACCCACACACGCCCGGCGTGAGTTTAAGCCACTGGGTCCGGAATTTGAACAGCAGTCGACTACATGGGAGTCCAGTGACATAACCATTATGCCAACTGCTGGTCCCATATTGAGAGTTTCTAAATTTATTTTCAGAGGAAATGCAGCTCTATAATCTTGCAGTAGGTGAACTCACAAACAACCAAGGGATGGTGGTTGCAAATTTTTTAAGGATGCAGCACTACTTAAATAAGACTGAGGTTCGGTATTGGGCCTTCTTGCTAACAGGGATGCACCTGAGGAAACAAGTTTCTCATTGGCACGCTCGTGTGTCAGTCATTTAATCCCCCTATATAGGCCATCAGGCTGTTGAGCTTCAGGGAGCCATTGCTGAAGAAAGGTCCAAACTGTAGCTGAGCTGATGTAAGGATCAGTCTTTCCGGGATGTATATTTTTCTGACAGTTAGGGCTAGTCCATTCTTTTGCTAATAACAGAGATACCTCAGTCTCTATAATTTAAAAGAATAGAGGTTTATTTAGCTCATGCTTTTAGAGATCCTTTGTCCAGGATCCACATCTAGTGAAGGGAAGGTCTCTTCTTGCTGGTGGATAACATGGCGGAAGGTGAGCATAAGGCAGAGCCTGTCTGTCTGTGTCTGTCTCATTCCTTCTCCTTATAAACCTGCCTGGATTCAATCTTTGATGCCTAATCACTCTTCAAAGGCCTCCCTTTCAGTGCCACAATCAGATTATGCCTTCACCCTCTCAGCACTGTGAAAATAGCTTACCAGATTTAACACGTGTATTTTGGGGGAGGGGACACATTCAAATCATAGCACAGTTTTTATGTGTAAAATAGTTTCATAAAAGAAAGTCACAATTAGATATCTTTATGAAGTTATAGAGGCTTGTTTTATATGTCAAAATTAAAGTTTGGAGCCTTTGGCCTAGGATCAGAAGTCCTATTACTTATACATGAATTAATGCTGCTTTTGTTTCATAAGGTCATCCTTATCCAAATAATTTATGATAAAAATCGATTCTCAGTGTATTCATAGTGTCCTGGGAGGGAGCTCTTACCACTTAGCATATTCTGTAGAGTTTTGGAGTCTGCCTTCTCCAAGCTTGGTAAGGTCAGGGGTGGAGGAGATGAGCTCAGCACAGCCAGTGCCTGGATCCTGGGTAAAATAGTGGTACGCAGAGAGCCAGGGCCTTGGACAGAGAGGCCTGGACTTGACCTTCAACTTCACTTATTGCTTGAGCGAGTCATTAACTTCTCTACATGTCATTTCTCTCTTTAGTAACAAGGGTCAGTATAACCTGCCTCAGAATTATTATAAATATTAAATGAGACAAAGTCCAGATAGTGCCTCATGGAGTAGGTGCTTCATTAATGGTAGATTTGGGATGTTTTCTTATTATGCCAGATTCATAGTGGGTAGTAGTAAATAACTATTAAACGAGCTTAGTGTTGGCTATGCATAATGATTGAGAATGTGATAAAATGCTTCCTATAAACAGAACTAACACTACAAGACACTTGTATTTGGGTGGCATCTAAATACAGATTGGTCTGATGCTCCCAGACCAGCAAGCAATTCTCATGGCCCAGCCCAGGGCACTTCCGGACATCATAGCCACTCCACGAACAATTTGCATCTCCTCCATGGGAACGTGCTGGAGCCAAAGCTCCCATCTTGGCTGCTCCTTGTGTTAGGGCTGGATGCTGGGCTCCGTAGAGGGAACAACAGGCGAGTCTTCCTCAGCAGCTGGTAGCACAGAGGGAAGGTGTTTCTCTCTGTGGGTTGCACCCCTGCAGTGAGGATTGCACTGGGCAGACGTTCATGAAGGGTCTGGTGTTTCTCCTTCCAGATGATGGATGCCAACCAGCGCTGGGATGTGCCCGAGGCAGTGGAGTGGATGTCTAAGCTGGCTGAGTTCAAGCCTTTGTGGATTGAGGAGCCAACCTCTCCTGATGACATTCTAGGGCATGCCACCATTTCGAAGGTAGAAAAACTACTGCTGCTGTTGCTGCTGCCACAGTTTATCCCCCCTTTCCTTTTTTTTGGAAAGGTTTTTGATATAGGGCGCGTGCGCTTGCCAGACAGACAGAGAGAGACATAGAGACAGAAAGTGAGAAATCACCCCCTGGGTGGATGGTCACACTGCAATCCCTTCTCCTCCATTCTCCTCTCGGGATCTTGGGCACACACGCACACGCACCCAGCGTGAGTTTTAAACCACCGGGTCCGGGACGCGAACCGCGGTCGACTACGTGGGAGTCCAGCGACATAGCCATTATGCTAACTGCTGGTTCCACCCCCTTTTCTTTTATGAGACAGAGAGAATAAAGGGAGTAGTGACCCACTGGAAGGAGTCAGCCAGAGGTTGGCCCCTGTGAGTCCATGGAGAGATGGCTGAGTCCCCTTGTCTTCTGTGCAGGCCCAGCAGAAGGGAGGGCCATTCACACTGAGAGGAGCACAGGACGGACGTAGCATGAACCAGAATGCTATAGAAGGCCCAAAGGCAGCATATCCCAGCACGTGCCTTCTCTGCACACACACAGCCCTGCCACGTGCACCCACATTCCCTTGACACCCTTCTGCCAGTTTGTAAACGTCTGTGCAGCTCGGCAGCAGGACACTTCCTTCTCCAGCTATAAATATTTTTAAACATTCAAAGTTGCAGTTTGACACTTAGAAAAATAACACCAGACTGCCTTCTATTTTACAGGCGTTGGTCCCGTTAGGAATTGGCGTTGCCACAGGGGAACAGGTAAGTGACATGGTCTCCTCAGAGTCAGTACAAATGACTGGCCACTGAGGACACGGTCGCATGGTAGGCTTCTGCCTCATTGTATTTTGAGTTGTGAAATTTTCATCATCCTACATGGCTCATTTTATAGCACTTCACTGAAACCTGGAGTTAGAGACAGTCACAAGTTTGTGGCTTTTTAAATAATTCATATGACTAAGGTCATTGTTCCTTTCAAAGTGTCTAATTAAAACGGAGAAAGCAGCAATTTAAAGCTGCTATTGAGAGAGCTTGAAATTGTTCCTTTTCAAAGTGTCTAATTAAAACGGAGAAAGCAGCAATTTAAAGCTGCTATTGAGAGAGCTTGAAATGGTTTGAAGAAAGCCAGCTTCCAGATTAAATAAACAGGACCGCGTTTGCGTTTTGGTACACTAAGCACAAGTGGCTGCCAAAACCTCCCGCAGTCAGCCTCTAGCAGAGCAGCACGAGGAACAGATTCTGTTTGCCTCGCTAAAGGAGCAATATGTGCTGCTATGGTTGTGTTGTCCTCTGTGCCACCTGCTCGTGGCTGTCACTGTGTGTCATCCTGGTGCTCTGCTCTATCTCCTAGTTGCCAGTTGACGTGATAGTTATTCCTAATAAATGGTGAGCCGGTGTGACCTGACTCACAGTGGTAAAGAAGTGAGTGCAGGGTCTTCTCTGCACAACCAGGGCTTGCTCACACTGAGCGAGAACAAAGGAAACAGCCCAACCTTCCTGAAAGCCACTGTTGAGTGGCAATTGAAAAAATGTGGCACATACCTCCATGGAATACTATTCAGCCATCAAAAACCAACAAGACCCTGGTGTTTGATAGAAAGTGATGGATATGGAAGATTTATTGCTGAGTGAAGCAAGCCAGATATGAAAAAGAGACATTGTTTGTCTCCACTTAACATATACAGACTGTCTACCCTCTATGGTAAAGTCTGAAAAACTGGAGGACATAAAAGCATTGAAAATTGTTATGGACATTATGGACAAAGTGAAAAGAGAGTAGGAGAAGGCAAGAGTGTAGGTAAAGAAATTGGGGGGGAAATAGAGAGGTAAGACATTTGTGGGACACAGATATAGTTTATTACCTGTTGATGATGACGTGTGTAGTATTCTCAACTGGGCTGATATTATGCTGATTAAAGTGTCTTTACAATCTAAATGATATATAGCAATTGAATGTATAAATAAACAACAACAACAAAAAGAATGGAATTGCCAGATTTAGAGATCTGAAGGCCAAGGCTGACTGTTCTGCTGGTGTTATTTTTAATTCTATTTCCAGTGCCACAATAGAGTGATATTTAAGCAACTCCTACAGGCAAACGCCTTGCAGTTTCTCCAGATCGACAGCTGCAGACTGGGAAGTGTCAATGAGAACCTCTCAGTATTACTGATGGCCAAAAAATTTGAAAGTAAGGGTGCTGTGGAGGCTGCGAGCCAGACCTCCACTTCCCCTCCCATTGGACACCTGGGTTCCCTTGCTGGTCTTTGCAATGCACACAAAAGTCTATAGGTTGTCTTTTTTTTTTTTTTCTTAACTCTCATTTAGCCCCAATCAGGGAATCTTTGCTGATTTTCATCCTGAAATTTCATTCTTGAATATTAATGAATCATTTAATCACCTGCAGGCAGCAGAAAAACACACAAGGTTCTCTTTCAGCTCTTCCTCCATCTGCCCTATTCTTGACATTAAGTAGAAATCTTTCTTTTAGTTCCTGTTTGCCCCCATGCTGGTGGAGTTGGCCTCTGTGAATTGGTTCAGCACTTGATTATATTTGACTACATATCAGTCTCCACAAGCCTTCAAAACAGGTCAGTAATGTGGCATGAACTAATACTTTTCACTTTAATAGAGTCTCCTAGTCCTGGCCAGGCCTTTACTCATTTTGCTCTTGTGACCCGAAACACTAAGAATCCTGTCCTTTGGCACATCCTATAACTCAGAGACTCAGTTGGTTTTACTTCTGCTTCTCCCCAGAGGACAGGTCATTTGTCCCTCTGGAAGGGTAGGTTTGGTAGCTGACTCAACTTTATTCTGGATGTACATCGAGGGGTGGGTTTGCAATCAGAACTCCCTCGACCAGCTCCCGTTGCTAACTTTAGCTAACGTCCTGCTTTCATCGCATGTGTATGCTCTGCTCCTGTCCAGTTGCTTCCTCCTGACCCTGGAGTCTTCCATGATCTGACTTCGTCTTTATTTAGTTTCACTTTACTTCTCAGCATTCTCCAGGTGAGCTTTAAATGAAGACACTCTCTTTCCAGTCATCTGCACACAGACGGCAATGCTATTATGCTTTTCTTGTTTCCTGGAATTAAATGTATCACAGAAAGATCACTCAAAGTTTATAATGAACGTGTGAAAACATGCGTGGGAAAGGTAAAAACCAAATTCAGAACTCTGAGAAGGAAATGGTATCCATCAGGGTACACAGGGGTTTCCATTTTAATTGTGATGTAACCTTACTTCAGTTGGGTAGTGAATACACTGCTCCCTTTTCCACCTGAACTATTTTATACCATAAAAAAAGAATGATTAGATTGGAAAGAAGAAACTGCAACCTGGCCCTCCTTAGTTGAGAAACTGCCACTAGTAATTGATCTCACCTGAGTCTGAACCTTAGGTTGTTCATTTGGAAAATAAAGGTCAGGACTAAATCATTTTTCTTTTCCTTTCCAATTAAGATCCTATTCTGCAATGAAGACAGCTAATATTTCTTTTTTTTTTTTTTTCACTATAGGTCTCGTGCGCTTGCCAGACAGAGAGAGACATAGAGACAGAAAGCGAGAAATCACCCCCCAGGGGGGCTGGTCACACCTCAATCCCTTCTCCTCCATTCTCCTCTCGGGATCTTGGGCACGGACACACACACGCTCGGCGTGAGTTTTAAGCCACTGGGTCCGGGATGCGAACCACAGTCGACTACGTGGGAGTCCAGCAACATAGCCATTATGCTAACTGTTGGTTCCCAGGACAGCTAATATTTCTTGATTATTCTAACTTTCCCCCTCTCATTTCCATTCCTGCCTTTAGGACTAAAGGGAGGTTCCAACCAAATTTGAAAAGTGCAAATCTTGAGGGATGAGAAAGAGCCCCCACCCACCCTGCCTGCCCACACTTCAGGGCATCATTATGTCCAAGTGTGCTTGACACCCACCAAGCAGGTGCCAGTGCCTCACAGGCCCTGCTGCTCAGGGATGCCCTGTCCAGGTGAAACTGCCATCAGACCTAGACACCCTGTACTCCCACAGCGCAGCTTCTCTGTTCTATAATTTTGTGGGGAACACCCATTTCCAGCTCATCTTTTTTTTAAAAAAATTATTTATTTAATTTTATTCATTTTTTTCAATTTGACTAGAGAGAGACAGAAGCAAGCCACCAGGTCTGGGACTTGAACCATGGTTGGCCGTGTGAGTTTGTCCAATGCCTTAACCACCACACCACCTGCTGGTCCCTCCAGCTCATCTTTTTTAATTTACTTATTCTTCAATGAGTGCGAGAGACAGGGATAGCACCCTGACAGAGTCTTCACTATTATCCAACCCTCGCTTCAGGCAGGCCCCAGAACATGGGCATACACACGCCTGGCATAGTCAGGGTGCTCTTTGGATGCAAACTTGGAACCTTATGTGAGTCACCTCACAGAGTTGGGTTTTAGCACTGCACCACCACCATCCAGCCCCCATTATTCATCTTCCTTGGCCTGTCAGTTCTCTCCCACATGGCTAGGTCTTCATCCACTCCCTGTTCCTTATAGAGTACACGTAGCACATGTGATAGTCGATGACTTAGTGCCCATGCCCACTGGAACCATGAAGCCTGCTCTTGCTAATTCCTCCATGCATCCCCAGCACTGGACACATGGCCTACCTGTCACAGCTGATCATATTCAGGTGACTATTGTAAGACAGTTAAGTCACTTGCCCCAAGCCACAAAACTAGCAAGTGGCTGGCACAGACCTAAACAGACTGATTTGGACCCTAATACCTGTCTCTCCATCAAAATCATTAGTATAGCTGCAAAGAACCTCATTGGGTGACTTTCATCTGTCCATCTATTTTTTTTTTAATTTTTTTGGAGAGGTTTTTGCTATAGGGCGCGTGCGTTTGCCAGTCAGCCAGAGAGAGAGACAGAGACAAAAGCGAGAAATCACCCCCAGGGGGGATGGCCACGTTGCAATCCCTTCTCCTCCATTCTCGTCTTGGGATTTTGGGCACGCATGCACACATGCCCGGCATGAGTTTAAGCCACCGGGTCCAGGACTCGAACCATGGTTGACTACATGGGAGTCCAGCAACATAGCCATTACGCCTACTGCTGGTCCCTATCCATCTAATTTTTGACAAAAAGTACCAAGATAATCTAATATTGATTCTGAATTGGTGCCTTTTAGGCATCAGGAAACCTTTAGTTAAAAGGGATTTCAAGGTTCACTTTATCTAAGCTCTCATGTTGCTGCATTTTACAGATGAAAAGTACCTGAGACACAGAGGTTAGGGGATTTGCATGGAAACCCATAGTAGTATGACAACTGAGTCTCTGCCAGATCCTCTTCTCCTGTTCTCCCCTCTGCTTTACCATTAGCACCCACCAGTGATCCCCCTTCAGGCCTGGTTGCTCCAACCTGATTCCTTCCTCCTAGGATGTGTGAATATGTGGACCACCTGCACGAACACTTCAAGTACCCTGTGACAATCAAGCAAGCATCCTACATGCCTCCTCAGGTGAGCCATGGCCTGGCAGGCCTCACAGAAGGTTCACTGCCACCACTGTTTACCCAATTTCATTACTAGAGCAGGAGCACACGACTCTGACTCGTTTTTCATTAACTAGAAACAAATGGCTCTTTAGATAATATATTCCTAAGGCCCAAAGGTCAGGGATCAAAGGATAAATCATCCCTAACAAAGTTTCTCTGATGTTGGGCTTTCCTTACTAGCTGAGACCTTCAAACATGCATTCCTTATGAAAATAAACAAACAAAACAACAACAAAAAAACAACCCTGGTACCACCTAACAGCTTAGTGACCTAAAAGGTTAGACTACACTCCGTTATCTGGGCTGTTGATCCTGATCATGTTCAAGAGATCGTGCTCATTTTTTCCCACAGAAACTGAACCATCAAAGCAAGTTTAATTGCTAATCCTGGCAAGTATCCAGTGAACTATGCACCACTTCAAATAGTCTGAAGACTTTTCAAATACAAGGGGACTCTAAAGGTTCATGGAAAAAAAGGAATTTTTACTTTAGTGCAAAAAACTTTTTTTGAAAAAATGTTTTTTCCTAATATGCATTTCCATGAATTTGTTTGCTATAGGGTTATGTGCACTACCGAAGAGAACTGCTGAGCAAGGGAAAGTGAGATATCACCCTCCCCCCTGCCCCCACCAGGGGATGGCCATGCCACAATCTCTTCTCCATTTTTCTCTTGGGATTTTGAGCATACACACACCCACCCTGCATGTTTTTCAAGCAGCTGGGTCTACGATTCAAACTGCAAAGTTGGCCATGTGGGATCCAGGCACCTTAACCATGCTACCTGCTAGCCCTTCATGAATTTTTTTTTTTTTGAGAGGTTTTCACTATAGGGCGCGTGCGCTCGCCAGACAGAGAGAGACATAGAGATAGAAAGCGAGAAATCACCCCCCAGGGGGGATGGTCACGCCGCAATCCCTTCTCCTCCATTCTCCTCTCGGGATCTTGGGCACGCACGCACACGTGCCCGGCGTGAGTTTTTAAGCCACCGGGTCCGGGACACGAACTGCGGTCGACCACGTGGGAGTCCAGCGACATAGCCATTACGCTAACTGCTGGTTCCCTTCATGAATTTTTTGAAGACCTCATATATTGAATCAATTGCCTCTGGCTTAGACTTAAAAGCAGAAATGGGAACAACAAAAATACATAAAACATGTTTTTGTTCCAGGTAGTGATTAAGGCTACTTAATTTTTTGTCTTTGATAGGATGCTGGCTATTCAACAGAAATGAAGGAGGAATCTGTACAGAAACACCAATATCCAGATGGTGAAGTCTGGAAAAAACTCCTCGCTGCTCAAGAAAATTAAGTGTTCAGCCTTGACACCTTTTACCTTTTTAAAGTGAAAAGGCTTAAAATGTCTTGGATATAGTTTTATATATATATATATAAACTTACCCTACCAATCAGATAAATTCAGCTGAGTCGTCATGTTAACCTCAGGAACCAGTCATCATTGTTACTTGATTCTTATAGCAAATCAATTATTTTCTTTTCTTTGGAGGGGGGAAGGGAGAAGTTTTTGCTATAGGGCACATGCACTTGCCAGAAAGACAGAGACAGAAAGTGAGAAATCACCCCACGGGGGGCGGGGGGGGGGATGCCACGCCTCAATCCCTTCTTCATTCTCCTCTTGGGATCTTGAATCAATACATTTTCTATTTAATCCTTAGACAACTTTAGATTTCACTAATCCTAAATCCGAGATGTTCTTACAAAATTTCTATCAAGTACTTTAGTACCTGGACATTAAACTGCACTTTAAAAATAAGCAACATGTTGTATAATTTGTTGGAACCCTTCCTTATTCTATTTAACACTTGTCATAAATTAATTAGCAGAATCAAAATAGTTCCACAGCTCCACGGGGTATCTAGTATGCAAAAAAGGAAGATTTCGCTGATTAGCTCAAAAGTGGTTTAGCTCCCCTTTTCTTGCTCAGTCTAAGCATAAAGAATTCACACCATATGAAATTAGTGAGAGCAAAGTGATATTGTATAACTTTTATAGCCCTTATAAAAAACTTTACCCTAAATGGTTATGTTATACACACACACACACACATGTGTGTATATATCTATATATACTATATTTGGTCGTCAGAAAAGTCATGACATATTTTTCATTGCAAAGATGAGTCATGACTTTTCTGACAAATTATATACACACACACACACACACACACATATATGTGTGTAAGTCCCCCTCCAACCCCCCCCCAATGATAGAAGGGAAAAAGGACCCTTAACTGGGTCTTGTCATGCTGCAGCTCATCAGGATCTTGGGCGTGAGTGCAAGTGCCTAGCATGTTTTCAAGCTGATTTAGGGATATGAACCCATAGCTGGCCGTGTCATTTTCAGCACTGCAGTTCAGTTTGCTATGAAGTAAGCCACCAGGCTGGGTCAGTCATTATATATACTTTAATGATAAAATGCAGCTAGAATGAGATCAATCAGGGTAAAATATAGTCAACATTTAAAAATACCTCTAACCCTCTCAGTAGCATCCTAACAAGAATATAACATATGTTTACTTAGGAAGGTGGAAGGTTCATTTAAATCTATTTCAGGCAGGAACTGAGCAGATAAATGGCAACATGAAATGAAAAAAAAAAAAAAAGAGCAAACACAAAATATTATAGCAATATATAAAACAAATATAACTTTAATTGTGCATAACCACACTATATAAACATTATGACTGATGTTCTTCAGCCTGCTCAAATTGTGAGAATAGCTTATGTAATTCTTGGAATGTATATACCTTCATAAAGATGTAAGATTGAAATGTGTGTACGTGTTTTTCTTAAAAGTATATAAAATCTCTCTCCTCACTTTATTGATAATCTCAGCATTTTCATACACCCTCAGAAAGTTAACCAAACTCAAAGCTTTTTATTACTAGAACTGGCACTGATATATTTGCCAGTGGAGACATTCTTAAAAGTTAGTGAATTTAAAAAGGAAAAAACGTTAATGGCTAATAACTAACAGGTCACTGAAGATTTTTGACCTAGTTCTTTTCTTCAGAGCAAAAAGACCTTTCACCTGGGCATCCAGCCCAGTCCCTACAGACTGACAGTATCCTTCACACAACTCCTCTGAAAGTACTCTAAAGAGCCATTTCCATTTTAATAGTCGGATGTGGATTGTATCCTTCGATCTGAAAGTCTTCAGCTTTGAAATCATCAATTTTCTCAACTTTTCGAAGAATTTTGAGCTTCGGAAAAGGTCTTGGTTCTCTCTGAAGCTAAAAACAAGAAAGTAAGACCATTATTTTACCCTATGTGTAAAACCTGTTTTCATTCTGTTCATCTGTCTCATGAAATAAGTACACAATATTCTATCAACACAGTTTAATTTTATTTTACAAGGACATAACACTGTAGATTCCTTGTCCCTGGTGCACAACTCTACTGGAGCAAAACCCAGCAGCTCTCAAGCACTGATCAAGGATAAGGATATTCTGTGAGGATGCACATTTTTGGGAGCCTGGTGGTTCATCAGATATAAGTGGTTATAATCGCTCTTGGTAAATTTATTCAAGATGGAGACATAGCCCTTTACTTTTCTATTTGTAACTCATAGTAGCACTCAGTTCGACAATTCCTGTTCCGACTGTCAGGAAAGGAAAAGTGACATCTCTTGACAACTAACAGAAAGGGATGCGAGTCAGGATTCCTGGAAGGAACAGACAGTGGCAGTTAGGATAAGGACATGGGTACCGACCTCACATTCCTGGTTTTGCCCTGACAGCCAGAGAGAGAAGCACTGGGATAAGCCTGAGGTCGCCCTCCACTCACAGCTACCAAGATCCCAAAGGAGTAACTTTCAAAACCTGAATCTCATCTGGACAGGGCTAAGTGTTTTTGGTTCCAAATTGTTTTTTCTTGGGGCTATGAGGTACAGACATGCTTTTATTCTTATAGCCGGTTCAAGTCATCTATTGGCTGTTAAGTTAGGGATCTGAACAGACAGACTTTTGCAAGTTCATACCTAAATACTGTATTTCACACAACATTAAGGGAAAACATTTGCATCTTAATTCTCCTTGAGGTAAAAATTCAAGTTAAAATGTTATCTGTGGGAGGGCCCAAATCTTCTGGCCTGAATGTGGCTTTCCTCTCTGCACTCGTGCTTCGTACCTTACTTAACCCACCTAACATGTGAAGTGCCTGTGGTTGCTGAGGCAGATGTCTGTCCTGTCCCTGTCTACCACCATTCCCCAGCCTGAAGCCTGTGACTGGAGGACAGTCATCATGGACACAGCAGTGAGCGTAATGGTAGACCATATCCTGTAAGTCAAACCACTTAGCAAAGAAAGGTCTTGAACTCAAAGCGTAACAGGTCAAATCCTTACCTGAATTTTCAGCGGCTCAACATGATTCAGGTAAATATGTGCATCTCCCAAAGTGTGTACAAAGTCACCTGGCTAAATCCCACGGGAGAAAGCAAAACGATACATTTTAGTTTCCATTCCTTTAAAACATATTACTTAAAAACACAGAGTAGGCAGATAACCCAAGGCCTTTCAAAAACAGAATTTAACCAGTGTAGCTTTTGGGAAAAGTTAAGCTGTTAAAGTTCTACTCTAAACAGCCCACATAAGCCTGTTTAAGACAGGAAAACTCCCTGGAAACTCACAAAGTGAGCCAGTTCATGTCTCTTTTTTTATACATGAGGGGACTTAAACAAGTTCACAGCATTATGGCATTAAAGTGAGTTTACTTCAGTGCCCCCCCAAAAATAATAAAATCCATTTTTTTCATAATATGTAGTTTCTATAAAAATTCTGATGACCTCATGTGTGTGTGTGTGTGTGTGTGTGTGTGTGTGTGTCCCCAATTTGCTAGAGGGCACATGCACTTGCCAAGGAGACAGAGAAAACGCCTCCCCAGGGAGGGATGGGTATGCCACAATCTTCTCCTCTTGGGATTTTGGGGATGTGCACACACACACCCATCTGTGTTTTTCAAGCTGCCACATCTGGGATTCAAGCCACATCCCTGGTTGGCCTTGGACCTCTTGTATGTCAAATTTTAAAACTTAGCAGAGACTCAGGCCAGCAGGTGGCATGGAAGTTAAGATGGCCTGATCCCATGTGGCCAACTGCGTGGTTTGAATCCTAACCCCAGCAGCTTGAAAACCATACAGGGCACATGTGCGTCTGTGCCAAGAATCCCGAGAGGAGAATGGGGAAGAAGGGATCTTGGCATGGCCATCCCTACAGGGGGTGATTTCTAACTTTCTCTATCCTGCCTCCCCTGACAAGCTCATGTACCCTACAGCAAAAACTAAAATAAAATAAACTTATCAGAGACTGAATTCTTTGCAATTCACTTTCCACATCAAAGAATCAAAGATCCCAGTGCATGAGGCTGGCAACAATCATTCTTTGGAAAGCAGCCCACCTTAAGGCCTGTGATGTGTGCAATCATATACGTGAGCAGGGCATAGCTGGCAATGTTGAAGGGCACGCCCAGGCCCATGTCTCCTGACCTCTGGTAGAGCTGGCAGGACAGCTCACCATCCACCACGTAGAACTGGCAGAGCGCATGGCATGGAGGCAGCGCCATCAGAGGGAGATCTGAGGAATAGCACAGAGGAGAGTAAGGGAGGGTGGTGGCTTTGAGGAACACAGTGTAGGCAAAGTACAAATGGAGAGAAATAGAAGAAAACTCACATGGTGGGGGACACAAGAATGGGCTAGTGGCTGGCGTGGCCCGCCAAGCACGCCGGCCCCCGCCATGACTCATCCCTTCCCATCATGTCAAAAGCAGAACATTCCCCCCACTCCTCAAAGCAATTGCACAAAGCTAAGGGAGACCATCCAAATGCATGAGATTTATGCAGATGTAGGTTTACAGCTAAAGCTGTGCTCTGCCATCCAAGCTGAAATTAAGGATGTGCACTACCTTCATGGCACCAAACAACAAACACAGCGGGAACTATGTCATCTGCAGGGGCCATAGGAAACTGGTGCCTCGAGCACACCTTACTGTATTACAAGTCTCTATAGTAGATGCAAATGTTACGCACTGGGCACTTACTGGTAGAGCATTTAACTTCACAATATAATTGTTAAGAATGTTAATAATAGTAAGGTGGAGGGAACCTGAAACTTGACCTGGACCAATTTCAAATGTCATACAATCTTGTATGCAATTTTACAGGCAATTTAAAGCCATTTTTAGAGTTAAGAACAAGCATAAATAAATAAAGATCTGGGTCCAATTCCAAAACGGCTCTGAAGGTGAAAACGAGGCAAATTGTGACTTGCCCTTGGTTACAAAACCGTTATTAGTGTGGCTGGGGCAGTCTTTTGTGGGTGGGGCGGGCGTTGTCCCCCCCCCTGCCTCTGCCCAGTGTCTCTACATAATGCTACCTTGCTTCCCTCTGTGCTAACAGTATGATGATAGGGAGGCGCCACCTTTTGGATTCCAAGCACACATGATGAGTCTTCTGTCGTTAGGATTGGCTTTGATGGTGTCAATCACTTTTTGCAGTTGGTCTACTCCTTGCCCAGAATAATCTGTAGCATGGTCAAAAAGAGAAAACATTTGCACACACTAATCACAGCATCTCCTGAGATGGCCTTTGAGGTCATCTAGTACAGCTGTCCACCCAATGTCACCCTTAACCCATGATTAGAAGAAAGCCAATGCATTCTGTAAATTTCTCAGATTTGGGGGGGAAGTTCAAGGCCCTATCTGAGCTCCTGGGTCTGTTCTCTGAAGCTATAACAAAGTCTATTTTACTTTCTGTACACAAGAGCTTTAAATATTGGGTCTGTCATAATGTTACCTCCTCCCCACTCCCTATTGTTAACCTCCTCCAAACAACTTTAGTTTCTACTGCTGGTCCCCAAGGGAATTTATCTCTATACCCATAAGTCATTCTTGTCATACTTTACTGACATGTCTAGTTTAAACTAGTCCCATACAAAGTACTAGTTCTTAAACAGAATATAGCAATCCATACACATTCAGACTAAGAGGACTGTAAGTTCCTCTGGATGACCTAAGCACTATTCTGCCCACACTTCCACCTATAATTATGATTTAGTGGCTAAACACGCTATTGACTTGTAAATATCAGGAAATCTCTATAATGATTACACCACCTTCCATTTTTCTTCCATTTCTGGTCTCTAGACTTTAACTCCTTGCCTTCCTTCTGAGATGGAAGTGGAAATTAAGAAATGATTTGTTAACTGCAGTGCAGAGCTTCATGTCTCCTTTTATAAAACTTACACTTGTTGTGTTAAACAATGTTCTGGTCCAATAGCTCTCAAATTTTTTTGAGGAAAGTCCTCTCACAACCACAGTTCCAGAAAAGGTAACACCAAAGATTTTTTAAAAGCTGAAATGTGATAGAATAGTTCTGTATTTTGACCATAGTGGTGGTTCTATGAATCTAAAATCATAGACATATAAGAGGAACTTCAAAGAGTTTGTGGAGAAATGGTATTAAAGTACGAGCTTATTTTAGTGCAAAGAAATATTAAATCTATATATAGCTTTTTTGTTTGTTTATTTATTTATTTTTTTATTTTTTCAGAGATGCTTGCTATAGGGCGTGTGCACTTGCTGGAGAGAAAAACAGACAGAAAGTGAGCTATCTCCCTTGCAGGGATGGCCATGCCGCAATCCCTTCTCCTCAGTTCTCCTCTTGGGACTTTTGGCATGCATGCACACGTGCCCAGCATAAATTTTAAGCCACAGGGTGTGGGACTCGAACTATGTTCAACTACATGGTAGTCCAGCAACTTAACCATTATACCATCTGCTGGTCCCATAGGTTTTTTTCTTCCTTTTTTTTTTTTAAAGTATGAACTTTTTTTTTTTTTGAGAGGTTTTCGCTATAGGGCGCGTGCGCTCGCCAGACAGACAGAGAGAGACATAGAGACAGAAAGCGAGAAATCACCCCCCAGAGGGGATGGTCACGCCGCAATCCCTTCTCCTCCATTCTCCTCTCGGGATCTTGGGCACGCACGCACACGCGCCCAGCGTGAGTTTTAAGCCACCGGGTCCGGGACGCGAACTGCAGTCAACTATGTGGGAGCCCAGCGACAAAGCCATTACGCTAACTGCTGGTTCCCTGTTTCCATGAACTTTTTGAAGACCCATCTTGCACACAAATAAGTGCGTGTAAAACTGATAAAGTCTAGTAAGCTCTGTGGACCACACCAATGTCAACTCATATAAGCTCTTACATAAGATATTACTATGGGATGAAGTGAGCATATAGAGGACCTCTCTCTATATATGTGTGTATATTTTTCCCTGTAATTATTTCAAAATAAAATTTAAAAACAGACTCTCCTACTGAAATTCAATAGCTGAACATTCATATTACTCTAAAGTCATAATTTTATTAGGTCCCTGAGCAACAAGAAATATTGAACATTAGGAAGGACTTAAGGCTCCACTGGCCAGGGGAATGGCCTCACACCCTAAGAAGGATGTCCTAGGCCAATGATCACAGCCTAACAATTGGCAGAGCATTTATCTGCAGAGACAGTTTAGCCCACATAGCATACTTTTTTTTATTGTCGTAAAGTATACTTGACATTGGTGGACCAGCAGTTAGCATAATGGCTATGTCACTGAACTCCCATGTAGTCGAACACGGTTCGAGTCCCGGACCCAGTGGCTTAAAACTCACACCGGGCGTGTGTGTGTGCGTGCCCAAGATCCCAAGAAGAGAATGGAGGAGAAGGGATTGTGGCATGGCCATCCCCCTGGGGGGTGACTTCTCGATTTCTGTCTATCTTTCTGGCAAGTGCACACACCCTATAGCAAAAACCTCCCCCCCCCCCAAATTGACCATTATTATAACTATTTTTAAGTATAGTTGAGTGGAATTAAGTACATTCATGCTGTTGTGCAACCATCCTCGCTCTCCATTTGCAGAACTTTTTCATCATCCCAGAGTGAAATCTGTACCCATTAAACAATAACGCTCCACTCCCCCTCCTCCCAGCCTCTGACAGCCAGCATTCTATTTTCTCTATGAATCTGCCTACTCTAGGTCCAAAAAGCATTTTTCAACTCCTTGAAGTTACCAACATTTAAACGATCTCATGATCACACATAAATGCAGATTTTAGGCTTTTACTGAAGGATGCTGATGACACTGGGCCCAAATCTCTCCAGCTGGCTGAAAGTGAGATATGACTGTCCCCTTTAGATAAGTGTCAGACTCTCAGGTTGCTGGCCCCTGTCCAGCCAGTAAACTGTTACTTTCTGTATATTCTGTGTTTGTATTCATCCCAACCCTAGGTGAGCATTAGCTTTTGTAACCCCTGTCCTAGGGACAGGTAGGACAAGAAAAGTCAAAGCATAGATTATGAGCTCCAGGACACTCGGCAAGTAATCCCACTGACAACTACGGGGGAAGGTGAAAAGTCTAAAAGTCAGATACTCCATTCTTCCTCCACCAGAGTAGGCAGAGAGGGTTCCGCAGGGCACTGGGCTATCACACCAGCGCCACCTACAGGAGGCTGGTGGCTCAGCCTTGGAAAGGGGGACAGAAGCTGCCCCACTGTAATCCTGGGCATCTGGTCCCACAGATGAACTTCCCCCCATTCTAGTCCTCAAAATAGACACAAACTGTGTTACTATCTACAAGTGACACAGGTGAGTAAAGTGCCAAGTACCCAATAAATGCTAATCACCAAGAGTATGCTGGACTCTCACGAGGTTTAGTTGTGGCTCCTCTACTGTGCCCTGGCATAGCCTCTTATAAGGCCCAAGTTACATACCCGTTCCCCAGAAACGATTCAGCATCACCCAGACAGGCTGAACACTGGAGCAAGCTCATCCCTATAACAGCAAGGGGGAAACCCAAGGAACTGTTCTGCCTCCTTACCTGAATCCATATTTTTGTATTCTGCCCCAAAATGTCTCCACTGGAAGCCATAAACAGGACCCAAGTCGCCTTCTTCTCTGGTGGAGAATCCCTGGCTGTCCAAAAAGTCTCGAGATCCATTGGCATCCCAGATTTTCACTCCCTTAGAAGATAGTTCCTTGGCGTTTGTGGATCCCTGGAAGAGATGGGGAGAGCAGAGCAGGTATCCAAGTGAATTCTGAGCCATCTCCTTGACCTGCTAGGGAACAGGCACTAAAAGCCTTCCCTATTAATAAGCAGACAGGTTCCAGCACACACTATTTTTTAAAGTTTATCTATTTCTTCCAAGAGAAAGGGGAGAGGAGTGGCTGACAAGCAAATTCAATAGGATCGTCACACTATGATCTACCTCCAGCCTGCCCAGATCATGGCATACACATGCCCAGCATGTACAGGGAGGCCCTTGAATGCAAACTCGGGCCCTTCCCATATAGGTAGAGCATTGTTTTACTGCTATGCCATTGGCTGGGCCCCAGCTCAAATTTTTGATGGTTTATAAGATGGTGTGATCCTTTTTTAGAACCACCTTCTCAAATATTTCCTTCTGTTCTCAACTAAGCTTTTTAGATTAAATGCTTGCAGTTCTTTAATTATTCCCTCATCTGACAGTTTTGTTTCTTAGTCAAATGTGTTTATGTCTAAATCTGATACCCAAAGTGAATGTAATGACTTATGCTATCTTTTCAGTTTATCTTATACGTGTCATATAGGCTCTTCCTAATGATTAGACTAATTAGTATCAGCTATTCAAGCAAATATGTCATACTAGAGTAAATTTCCTTCACATGTGCCATTATAAAGTTATGTTTGCCCCCAATTTACAAGTAACAGTTGTCTCTTTTTTTTTTTTTTTGCCAAGTACAGAGCCTAATGTGTACTTCTCTTATGTTTCGTCTCACTAGATTTGGCCCATGTATCCTGTATCCTGATCACATCTCCAGGTAGACAGACCCCATTTGCCTCTGGCATCTCTGGGTATGATGCACTCTAATGATGATAGATGAGGTGCTAGTACCACATCCATCCAACCTCAGTGCCTGGTCCTTCTACCTACCTTCTCCTCTGACCCACTCCCTGCCCCTTCGGGCCCCACTATCCTCATGAATAGCACTAGAGCTCATCAATAGCACTCATCACATGATCCCGAGGAGGATTACACAACACAAGCACAATGCCTGGTGCTTAGGAGATGCTAGCTACAGACTGCACCTCCCTTCATCTGTGGTGAGCCCGGGCTGCAGTGCAGCTACGCTCCGACTCTGGTATCTATCTGGTCAGGTCACCTATGGAACAGCTCTACCAGACCAGAGGTGAGTCTGAAGTTCCTGAAGGCCCCTGAAAAATGGTGAATAAGTTCAAACAGGTGAATGCATTTTACTTCTGAGCATCTCATTTCTTCCCTTTCTTTGTTGAGTTTTTTCTAAGTTTTGTATCTCCAACAAATCATTGCTCAATCTATCACATACAGCTTAAAAAGTCTCCCGTTTCCATCCATTTGGACTGGACTCTAGCTAGTTTACAAATATACTTCTTGCTTGGGACCAGCAGTTGGTGTAATGGCTATGTCGTTGGACCCCCATGTCGACCACAGTCCAAGTCCCGAACCCGGTGGCTTAACTCATGTCACGTGCATGTGCATGCATACCCTAGATCCGAAGAGAAGAATGGAGGAGAAGGAATTACGGCATGGCCATCCCCCCTGGGGGGTGATTTCTTGCTTTCTGTCTCTCTGGGTCTTTCTGGTGAGTGCACATGCCCTATAGCAAAAATCTCTAAAAAAAAGAATATACTTCTCATTTTCCCTTTCTCTCTCTAGTCAAATTAAATAATAATAATAATGATAACAAATGGAATTGAATAAATAAATACTTCTTTTTAAAAATTATTTTACTATTTATCTATTTTAATTTGACCAGACAGTAAGAGAGAGAGGAGAAAGAAAGAGAGAAAGCAAGCCACCAGGTCCAGGACTTGAACCACGGTCTGCCGTCCGCCATGTGGGAGTCCAGTGCCTTTAACCACCACGCCATCTGCCAGCCCCAATAAATAATTCTTAAAAAAAAAAAAAAATCATTTTCTGAGATCTTGATGATGCAACCAGAACCAGAAGTTCCTTGTCAGTTGAGTTAGGCCAGTGCAAAACAAAATACCCCAAAGAATACAGAACTAAGGAAAACTGGACTGAGAGCAAACATCAACTCTTACTAAAATAGGCTAAGAGGCCCTGGGTTTGGTTTGGCCCAACATCATATTAACAGAAGCCATACTAAATGTCCTTATATAAGGGGTCCCAAATTCTGCCATGGCCCAGAACTGAGTCCCTTTGCTCAGGGTTCTAGACAGAACATCACTGGAAATGGGTCAGCACATGGAATGAAGCAGAGCCCCCTAGCCTGTGTCCAAAGGACTGACGTGGCTCTTTGGGAGAGGTCTGTCTTATTACTGAAGAGATTCTTCTAGTTCACACAAACATGAGAACACTGCCAGGATCCACATTCAGTCCTGATACATGCTGAGTGCCCACTATGTGACAGGCCATGTACTAGGTCTGGGGATACAACACAGACAAGGAAACAAACTTTCTGCCCTCATGGAGCTTATGGCACATGTTCCTTAGATATTGCCTGACATCCCCTTCTAATGAGAGAAGAGGGAAGGCAGATGTTATACATCACATTAGATGCTTCTCTACGGAGAAAAACAAGAGGTGAAGAGAGAATTAGTCTTACACCAGGAAGTAAAGACAGGCTTGCCGAGCAGAGACTGGAAGTGAGGGAATCACGCTACATGTGGGTGCAGAAGGCCCCCGCACACTCCAGTGTGTTCAGAGATAAGCAAGGAAGCCAGTGCTGGAAAGGAGGCACCAACAAAGACCTTGGCTCTTGCTGAGTGAAGTGGGAACCACTAAGGGCTTCAGGCTGAGTGACAGGATCTGACTTTTAAGGGATCTCGCTGACTGCTATATTGAGAAAAGACTGGTTGACACCCAAGAGCAGCAACTTCTTTACCTTGATAAACCAAAGCAGCTCCTCCAAAACTCCCTTCCAGAATACACGTTTGGTTGTCAGCAGAGGAAATTCATCTGAAAAACAATTTGCCATACAATGAAGATGGGAAGACAAAATGCACCATCTGACCTTCTCTATGGGTGAAAACTACCCAGGAAGTAAGGCCCTGGAGCAACCAGAGGAACATCCAGAAAACTCATCCACTCTTCTGGATGCATCCAGAGCAGCATCCACCCAACTCCTGCCAAGTGGGTGCCCAAGAACAGGTGGAGGTTCCATGCTGTGAGGTCAGCTGGTGACAGAATTCAGACAGAGGTGGTCCCCTGAGCCCTGGTAACCACTAGACACAGGAATCCCACACAGAAGGCCATGGTGGAGGCAGGGATGCCCATGGAGAAAAGGGACGAAGTTACCATTCACATCCCAGGTAGCACAAATCCTGTTAGAGCTGGAAAGACAATACCCAAAACATGCCACAGCAAGCCTAAAGGCTCCCACAACTAATCCACGATGATCCTGCCAGAGTGAACTTGTGAGGACCAGGGGATAGCAGGTATCATACTAGTCAAAATTAAAGGGTAGTTAAAAAATGCTATTTAAATAATTTATTCTCTAATTTTTTTTAGCATGCCAAAAAATGGCAACTGTTTAAACACTTTATATGCATGATCTTATTTAATTCTCAATACAACTCTCCTTGAGGGACCAGGAAAACCTCCACTTCATAGATGCTAGGAGGCAATACAGAAGTCTACACAGCTTCAAGGTAAAAAGGAAACATTAAGTAATGGAGAAATAAATGCATAAAAGCTTGGGGGCAGCAAGTGGCATGATGGTTACAGCACTGGCTGACAGTGGTTGGAGTCCTAGATCTGGTGGCTTGAAAATCACACCAGGCACATGTGCGTGGGGGCCTAAAATCCCAGGAAGAGAACAGAGAAGGGATTGCTGAGTGATCATTTCTTCTGGGGAGTGATTTCTTACTTTTCCTCTCACTGTCTTTCTGTTGCACAAGCACGTGTGCCCTAAGGTAAAAACCTAAAAATCATCATAATCATCATCAAGCCAGTAGCATGTGCCCAAAATCCTGAAAGGAGAATGGAGGAGAACAGACTATGGTCATTCCTCCTAGGAGGTGATTTCTCACTTTCCCTTTCTCTGTCTCTCTCAGGTGAATACAAGCAATCTATGGCAAAAAAAAAGAAAAAAAAAAAAAGTAAAATCTCATCTCCAATTGCAGTACTATTTAGTCCTAGAAATGGTTGTATGGTTGACATTCATGCAACGCATAGTTTTCAAGTCTCTGCTTTTATCAATATTGCCTACTGGGTGTCATTTCCTCAATTTTTACCATATGGGCAACTAGAAACTGTACAGAATAACTTGCCTACAGGGGCAGGATCACAAACTAGGTCTGTGGAGCCACTGTACTGGAACTACCATGGATCTGCTCGGAGGAAACCGCCCCCCGGTTCTCCAAGGCGGATCAGCCACAGCAGCTGTGTATTTTTCAGTCTCTGAAAGGGGTATGGGGTGGAAAGTTTTCCCTTGACTACAGTGGATCTACTTCACCAGAGGTGGGTTCCCTGCTCACAACCACCCCCAACCCTGGTGGAGTACGCTCTTGGTTTCTCAGAGGTCAAGGCCATCGCGAGGCTTAAACACAGGAGTCCTCCTCCCCCAACGTGACATTGACCTTTCCTAACCCTGGGAAATAAAGGAGGGACAATCTGAGGCCTAACGTCCTGTGCCCCCACACCGCCCTTCTGTCCCCCAAAGCCTGATGCTAACAATCTCCAGGAGACACGTCCTCCTTGGGCAACATCCTGTTTTTAAGGAAACTTGGTTCCCGGGGCTGGAGCGAAACCGTCAAGTTCCGGCCCGGGCCAGTCGGTGCTCCCTTTCTCCCGCCGCCCCGCCCACATTGTTTTCGCTCCAGTTTTAAAGAAGGTCGGAAGGCGGGGCCGCCAACTGCCGAGGGAGGAGGGAGAGCGCAGGCCAGGCGCTCTGAACAGCCGCCGGAGCAAGCCCAGACTCGCCCACTCTGCAGCGGACGAGCGCTACTACAGGGGGTGGCCGCCGCTCTGGGGACAGCATAATTGGGGGGCTCACGCGCACAGGCCCAGCTGCCACTCCTCTGCCTGACCCGACCCGAGCCTCAGTTTTGGCGCCTCTAAAATGGGAACGGGGCTGCTGGCCCTCCGCGTGGGGTTGAGGTTAGGCCATGAGGCCCCCCGCGCCCGGCTCCCGGTCCCGCCCGCGGCCCCGCGGGTCACCTCGCAGGCTGTAGCGCGCCTGCATGCCGAACACGGACAGGGTGCCGGTGCCCGTGCGGTCCTCCTTCCGCGCGCCGCAGCGCAGGATGTGCTCGACCTGGCCCAGGTACTGCAGCTCCCCATGGGCCGACCGCGGCTCGGCATCCCGCTCCTGCGCGGCGGGCTGCGACGGCGGGCGCGACAGCTCTGAGCC